GTACTTAAATGGTGTTCAGAACCAATCTTTAATTCGAGTTAGTGTAGTACACATATTAACTGATATCACTGTACAGCCACTCTTGAATCGCCCAATATAAGCTTCTACGCGTTATTAATAACTATAGATTTACTAATTAATTGTATACTTATTGTCGTTTAAGCCATATTCTTACCTTCTACGGTTGCATTAACTGAATAGTTCATTATAATAACGTGCTTAAAAAATTATCGAAGACTACACGATATCAGGTGTTATTTATTTAATATTAATCACGTCACTCTGATAACAATATAGGTACACACCCAAACGATTCAGCTGATTCGTATGCGACAAACTGATAATAGTGAACACCCGTTAAACTCGCCTCGGCAAATGATGTGTATACCAAATTGTTTAAATTCAATCAGTGTGGAATCGACATCTTAGACATTTTTCATACTATTATTATTATCATCTGGCCTAATAAAAGTACCTATTGCTGGGTGGGTGGGGCCATACTCGTTGGACCATGAGCAATCTCCATTATCAACTTTTTCTTGAGATGCCCACCAAACTGAATAATAGATTAGGGGTACTACCATCGTTATTTTTTAAGTAATAGGTTCCTTCCTGTCCAATCTATAATCCGCAGGTAATGTGACAACATAAAAGCGGTATCGTGGAAGAAAACTATAACTAAAAAGGGGACTTACTTAAAAAATAATCAAAGTAGAGAATATTAAAAAATCCTATACGTGTGCCGGGTAACGCTAAACCCGCGGAACCGAAATAGAATTTACCTTTTTTTTTTATCCACTTTTTTGGGTTAAAGTTCAACGAACTGCTTTGATTAAATATTTTATTAAACGCAGTCCATTAGCTAATAGGATGAATAGTGTGGTGTCTATACAGCGTGGCTCGAATATGGTCGTTGTTAGATAGATAGAGTTTTTGTAGTTCACTCAGCTGTTTTTACCAATATTTATGTTATTGTAAGCAACTGTGTATATAGTTGATAAATGAAATTGCCTACTATATTATAATATGTTGGCAAGCAAACTAAATGAATCGAGTAAAAGGCACTTAACTTCTCTTGCCTGCAGTAGTTTATTATCCGTGTAATTGTGCCCTAAGGGTGCCAATTTCATTAGCTCACATTGAACAAATCGGTCAGCAAGACAAATAATTGTTTGGTGTCTAAGCGAAAAGACAACTCAAAATTATATAACTTGCAAAGAGAAGTTATCCGTTTTCTCGACTTCTACATGATCTCCTTGTACAAGCTCTGGTGTAATAGTTTTTACCTATATATTATGTGTGTAAACCTACCTTTTGTCGTTATTACTTATTCATGATTTATGAAGAGTGGAGTTGAAAAACTGATAAATTCCATATAATTTTAATCTCAAACAAGAGAAAACCGATACAATTTAGACTAATTCGGACTGTCATACAGTGAACAGGGTGCAATTTTGGAAATAATTCCTCGAGGTGGACGGTTTTTTTGTAATCACGGTGGCTTGGCTCTTGGAAAAATAGGTGTGCATTATCAATAACGGTGGATAAAACTGAAAATTTAGTATTGTACCATGTATGTGTTGGGATTTCGAGTTGGACACGGCTATTATTTTTGTTTTTTCTATCTTTTTCAACAGTTTGTTTATTACATTTCGTTGACGTCGAGCCAAACGTGTAATAACACACACACACACACACAAGCGTGTGTGTACTAATATATTATTATTATTATTATTATATACGACGAAAGAGGAGGACACTAACGGGTTCGCTTTCACACCACCACCACCAGGCACCACCGTCCGCACGTCCGTTGCGTCGACGGCGAACGGCCACCACCGTTTGACCTACAACAACGCCGGTAATAACGTAACCAAAGAACTTTCTTTCCAACTATCGTGTGAATGTAGAACGTGACGTCACACGGCAACGGCGACCGCACCACGACTCCTTGTGCGTGCTGCTTCTCCTGGCCGCCGCCGCCCCCCTCGCTTCGCCATGCCGGTCCGGGTCGACGAACTCTTACCTAGCGGCTGTCATAGGTGAGGCATAAAAATAAATATAGATTTAAAAAAATGTGAGCGTGTGTGGGTATTAATATTATTAGTTCTGCCGTAATAATAGTAATGGGTAAATTATATTTACACGCGTTTAGTTAGACTGGAAACGTTTTTTTTTTTTTAATAACAATAATTATTTCCATGTGTTTCGCGGCGACCGGTCGGACCAGGGCTAAAAGATTTTTCACGGTTTCAGCACAACCGTTTTTGTTTTACGCCACGCGTCGTCATCGCTTGTACAACAACAACAACAATGTTTTTTACCGCTATAATAATTAGTAAACTAATATTATGCGCTCGCTACACGCAGGGGCTGTATTTATAATTATAATAATGCATTGCCCGGGTCAACGTCGACGGCGTTAATGCAGTCCGCCGACCGCGGCCAATTCGATTGGATTTCCAAAATAAAAAAATTAAAATATTCTTTTTCATCAATAGCCGTTGTAATAACATAGTGTGTGTGTGTATACACATTGAGTAACGACCAACGTGTGTCGGAAATGCGGCGGGTGTTGCCCTAACAATTATTATTGTTTGGTATAACGATGGTAATTATTATTATTGTTTAAACGCGCGAACGCTGCAGTTATAACAATATCATACACGTGGGTCGTCGATAGGTTTTTTTTTTAAAGGTTCGTGTGACGTTCACAAAGTGTGTTGTTTGGCGCAACAACCGGTCCGTTCGACTTTCTACACTCGGTGCGGAGGAGTGTTGTGTCGATGGTATGTATTTTTTCTGCCCCCGCCAGCCGTCGTCGGGTTGTACAAAAGACGGGTTTGCCGCGAAAGAATGACCGAGAATAGTTGTAAAAAAAAAAAAAACGTGTACGTGTTTACCACCGGCAAACCGGTTTGGACGGCAGCAGGTGTACGTGCCAGAGGTGTATCGCACAAACGTAAAATCCTCGAAAAAAATACTGTTGTACACATCCGAGATTGTCTCACGGACCGTGAGGAGGGTTCAATATTATTGTGTTATCTATACACTATATAGTAGTATAATATATATATATATATATATATATATATATATATATATATATATATATATGTATATGTGTTCATATTATAGTAGACTACAGGCGGTCGCGAAGGGAAAAAAAACAACCGCGACCTTGACATTGTTCAACATCCCCTGTTATTCATAAACACACCGACGACAAGAACGGTTTTTTTTCATTTATTCCATTTACTATTACTATCCAATCATCGTACACGCGGGTGGGGCTGGCATTTTCACAAGTAGGTGAGCTGGGAACTCTCTCGTGGGACCGGGAAAAAAAATTTAACTTTTCCGTCTTGACAGTGTGTGACAGACACGTATATAGTATTAAAAAGAAACTTAGAGAGACGGGGATAGTGGTGGTGACAACCGGTTATTCATGATGGTCGCCAATTGTTGTTGTTTTCGCACGAATCGCGATAACGAAAATCGTACATTGTACATTAATGATAGGTTTACGATAATCAATTTCAATTTATCTGTAATCGCTGGACAATTATTATAATTATAACGGTGGTCAAGTGCCAGTTATTTATATTTTCGTGTATTGGACGTTTGAGTAACTTTTTTGTTTACCAACAGTTCATGTTTCACGCGAGATACCGTTGATATTATGATCAATAGCTATCATCACGATACATTTACCAACGAAACGAATATATTTTAAGTAATCGAATTAAACTGACAAAACAATTAGCAAAAAAAAAATTATTTCTTATTTACAACTTGTGATGGCGCGTACCGGTAACAGAGATTGTGTCGAAAAACGGTAGTCGGTTAGTGCCGGCAAGGAAAACAAGATATTATGTTAAAATTATATTTTCGGTGCACACACTGACATATTATTATTATGTGCGTGCGAAAGGTACAAGTATTTTAGTATTATTTTAGCCGGGTTGGTTCCCACGACTGGTATATTCGTCGACAAAATAAAATGTTAACGTGGTCCTCTGTGTTCGAGTGATTGCCGCATTCCGTTTGCCGGTTATTTCCTATCACAATATTTGCCCGTCACTCCAACGTCAACGGGATATTATTATTGCCGAGGCCTCGTGGACAGTTAAAGAGGGGCGCAAAAATATGCGGGGGTGCACAAGCGCTTTAAAAATTTAAAAAAATCATTAAAACCGAACGGTACATCGGCGGCGAAATACGTCATCGATTTTCCACCACAACGGTACAAACGCGGTGGCCGCCCCCGCGCATCCGACTGACCGAACATAATTGATATTATGTCGGTTGTGTATACTACTCGGAGAGATAATAATATCATACTACGTCTGACGTGTATTTTTCATTCTTTCTTTTTATTTTTCTCCCGGTTTTTAACCGTTGCCTCGTCGTACCCACGCGGCCGGAACCGTATTATAAATGCATATATATATATATATATATATATATAGTAATAATATAGTATAGTGTATATATATATATATATATTTATACACATAATAATATTATATAGGTAGTGTCATTGTTGGTTTTTATCTCGTGACGTAGCACCACCGCCACCGCTCGGCTCCGGTCTCACGGTCGTCGTCGTCTCGTCCCATCCCGTCACTTCTGGCATTGTTTGACCCGGTCCGACGGGTGGTCGGTCGTAGACGCGGCGGAGTGTGAGCAATCGTTCTCGGATCAATGATAAAAATAATATACAACGACTACGAGTACGGCTGTGGTCGTGGCGCGGTGGTGGTGGCGGAGGCGGGGACCGCCGTCGCGGCCGATAATCACGTACGACGGCCGGCGGAGGCGGAGGGGGCATACGTCACGCGAGGCCGGGCTTCAGAAGGTTCTCGATTGGTGGCCTCGAGGGTTGGCAGCGCTGCGCTCCCGTACACCGGCGCCCGCACGCACCCGCACGGTACACGCACACCGGCCGTTTCCCGGGCGCCCCGCTCCGATCGCCGCCGTCGACACACGACCGTGTGAAACGTCACTACGATTGCGGCCGTTCAACGCTTTGGGTGTGTAAGCCGGTGACTGAGTGTGTGTGTATGTGCGCGCTGTGAACGTGTTCGTCGGTCGCCCGCGTACGTTTTCTGTGAAAGGTTCGCGTTTTACGTAAATTATTTAATTTTTTCGTTATCAACGCGTTGGTCGTTTTCGGTTTTTATTCCATTTATGGATTTAACCCGAGCGATCTTCACGGACTCCGATAAACTCCGCCGGAACGTTTTCGTGTTATTTTTATCGTCCGGACGTTCGTTGTAAAACCACAATCATTCGTAAACACGGTGCGAGCGTGGCTAAAATGCAAAACATGCTGGGTAAGCGGCAACATTGTTACCTGTGCGATTTGCCCCGCATGCCGTGGGCGATGCTGCACGACTTTACGGAGCCCGTGTGCCGCGGCTGCGTCAACTACGAGGGAGCTGACCGCATCGAACTGGTCATCGAGACCGCCCGGCAGATGAAACGGGCCCACGGGTTCCAGGAAACGGCCACCAGACCCGCCGGTGGAGCGTCGTCCGCCGGTAACGCTCATCACCCGAAGAACGCGCACCGGCACGAGAACGGCGGACTCGAAGTGGTCGGCATACCGCCGCAAGCCCATCAGCTCGCCGCCCGGCAGTCCCAGCAGCCGCAGCCGCCGCCTCCGTCGGCCGCGGCCACGCACTACGCCACGCTACACCACTCGCGGTCCACGCTCATGGACTACCCGGGCCGGCCGGGCGCTCACGGCAACGACCACGAGGTGGCCATGTCTCGGACGTCGGTACGCCTGCAGCAGACCCAACAGCAGCACATGGCCGCCCATCACATGTCCGGTCGGACGCAATCGGGCCAGGGGCTGAAGCGGGGCCTGAGCTCGCAAGGCGACGACGACGACCATCACGCGGAGAGCAACAAGCGCATGATGGAAGAACCGCCGCAACAGCGGCCGCCTTTGCAGAGGGGCGATTCTCTGCCGGCCGTCAGTCTGGCCGTACCGTTTGTCGAGAGGACTTTCAAAACCGAACAGAAACACCCTATCAGGACGACGTCTTTCGACGCGGCCTCGTTTAAGACAGCCGGTGAGTGTCGAGCACGTCGGTCGGACGATGCCTTTTCAATATTATCTTTGTTGTCTACTATAAATTATTATTATTATTATCATAAGTAACGGTAGCATACTATACGCTGAGTAACACCTCGCGCAGGCTTCGTATTAACAATAATAAGAATAATTGAAAGTTCTTTTGAAAATTCCGTTGTCGTTTTTGTTTTCATCGCTTATAGAATTTTATTGTATAGACAGACACCGTGACGTAGTGAATTTATATTTTGCCGCCGGGGCAACCCGATTGAGTAGTGTCGGTGTACATTACCGAAGGGGGGGAGGGGACTTGGCAAAATTATTTCATATTATTATCCATATAACACACGACGATCGCGTACACAAAAACGGAACGGCTTACAACTACCAAACGGGAAGCCGGCAAACGTTTTGTGACGTCATGGGATCCGGTTTCCCGACCTGGTTTAATTCGCCGCCATTTCCTTGAACCTATCGCGAATCGTTCTTGTCCGCGTTTAAGACGATCTTCTCGCGGCTATCGCGACAGACCGTGTGACGCGCCGAGCATAACGCATTTCGATTTTGTTCACCGTCAATATCATTGCGTGTACCGTCGGGTCGCGTACGCTTTTGGGAACGCTCCGTACATTTGGCAACGTCGTCTCCTCCGGCGGAAGCCGTGTGACGTCACGTGTACCCACAACAATGCGGTGCGCATGCGCGCTTCGGACGGATCTAACGATTGATCCCGTGCGGTGGTGGCCGTTTCCGTCGATGGGTGCACCGCGGCGTATGTTATTTGCGTATCGCATACAACAATAATACACGTGTGTTATCATCCCTCGTTAGGAAGGTGGGCGGGGGGAGTTAATGGCCGTCAATGACCCATTTAAAAACAATAACAAACCCGTGAGCACGGGAAATTCCCTGCCTTATCCCGCGACTCGCGTTGTCGTGTATAGTACCGTTAGTTAGTAGTAATAGTAATAGTAATAATAATAGTGGTAGCATCCCTCTAGTAGTCGATAGATAGATACCCTTTGGTAGTCTTGTAGTAGGCATTTCCGTGGCTTTTTGTCGTACGCTTGCACCCTTGTCTTGTTGTGTAATCATTGTCCCTTGTGTGCGTTAGGTGGATACGCGGTAACCGCGGCGGCGGCACAACAGGGCATGACCAACGGCGGCGGACCGGCCACCGCATCGCCGTTGCCCGTCAGCCGCACTACCGGTTCGCCGACCGACGGGCCGCCGTCATCCATGCAGACGGTCGGCGGCGGTGGCGGTGGCCAGCAGGGCGCACAGAATCAACAGAACGGGCCCAACCCGATGGCGGCGCTGATGAGCGTCACCGATAACCTGCCGCCCGGGTCGCCGCAAAGCGCCCGGGGCAGCCCTCCCGGCTCTACGGGCCCCAACGCACAACCGCCCGGCGGGCCCAGATCCGCGTCCCGAGGATCGCAACATTCGCCCAACTCGACCGGTATGTATCACATATCCTCCGCCTTTACACGCACCTTCGTCGTCTACGGGTTTGACCTTCGCGTACTCGGAAGGCCATGACCGTACGGCGATCGCTTGCTGCTGCTGTTTTCAGTTTTTGTCGCCTAACCCGCCCTAAAGTAGACGCAAACTATAGACACACTTGATATCATATTATTGGCCGTACTTTTTTCTTAGTTAATTCTTATTGTATTAAGTGTTATATTTATTTGTATTGTGTTGTGACAAAATTCAAGTGAGCCACGCTAAAGGCGGACCGGGTCAGATAAAACTGTTGTACGTGTACTCTAAGCCGGTCGTTATCGTCCTGTCCATGTGACCGCATTCGTTCAAAGATAACGTACTATTTTTTATTACTATTATACAAAAATCAATAAATTTTCGATAATATTGTTGTTAATCGCGTGCATAGTTCAAGAGTATTATCGAGTTCTAATCATTGGAAAATACAACGGACGCTTATCGACCGTCCGAGTTGTCGATATAATTATTTTGTATAATGCACTTAATATGTCAACAAATCTTTCTTTACTAGTGCGTTCAACCCTATTTTCTTTGGGTGTCCGTCGATTAAATATCCAAAACGCCTATTACAATACATTGATCGAACGTTACTACATTACGGATCGTTTGCTGAACAAAAGAAAATCGTGTATTGTCATTACACACCATATTAATATATATTTTTTTCTATATAATTTTACTGTTTTTCATATGTTGTCCGTGTATAAACTCGTTTACTGTTTATAAAATAGTATTTTATAATCATCCGTGCCCGTTTTTTATAAATACAGTTAGTGTCCCCGTGTACGTGTAACCCGTGTTGATTTCTTGCGTTCGCTTGAAAAGCTTATATCCGCTTGATCCGAGTAACCGTGCCGGACTCGAGTGTTGCACTATGACATTGCACTAAAAGGAGTATACTTTTTCAGGCAGCACCAACAGCGGCCGCAGATCGTCGGGCAGCCGGCACGTGAGTTCCACCACTGTGACTTCGAGCGAAGTGAACGGCACGGGAGCCGCTGGAGCCGGAGGCGGAGGACCAGGAGGACCCGGTGCCACCGTCAACGGTACCAACGGCGGTGCGTTGAACGCTTCTGCGCCCGCCGGCGGTGCGGACGGCGCTCCGGGCACACCGTTGGAAACGGGAGCCCCCACGTTACCGCTCGTACCTCCGTCCGTGCCTCTGACCAACGCTTCGGGAGCCGCCTCGGCCAACGTCGCCACGCTCAAGTGTACTCTGTGCCAAGAACGACTGGAGGACACACACTTTGTGCAATGCCCATCGGTGCCTCACCACAAATTCTGTTTCCCGTGTTCCCGGGACAGTATCAAAAGACAAGGGGCCGGCTCTGAGGTATTTTTTTGCACACAACAACAAATGCGCTATTTACTTAACTTGTATGTAAGTCTAACGTTGTTTTTCGTCTTGCAGGTGTATTGTCCGAGCGGCGAGAAATGTCCTCTGGCCAATTCCAACGTGCCTTGGGCTTTCATGCAAGGCGAGATAGCTACCATACTGGGCGAAGAATTCAAAGTGAAAAAAGAAAGAGAATCATAAGCTGAATTCATTCGATTGATGGGAGATTTTTGTCCGTGTAAAACATATACGAATATGTTTATACAAATAACATATTGAAAATATAATTTTATTATGAAATGTTGATACATGTCACCTACGGATACTACCGACGACTTAAGCCGAGCGACTTTGGCGGCTTACGTGTGCATTTATATACTAAACTTGTATATATTAATAATTATTGTGTTATAACGTTACTTTGAAAACGCCAATAGTTTTAGTGTGTCCGAGTCTCGGACAAACCCTTACATATTTTTTTTTATCAAGGCAAAATTTACACGTTTTGGCCTTTTTTATTTTCTTGTTCGCCTTTCGTTTTACTTTAAAAAAAATTATAATTGAAATTTCACGTACTCATCCCCTTACTGTTCTTTTTTGGCATCAAGACTGACCCGAGTCGTGTTTGTATTTAAAGGAAACTAAAATTTTTAACAATGTTACGTATAAAACGGTTAAGAAACGCAGTCCTAAGACTGTGCTAGTCAAAGCAAATAAAAATATGTATATTTAATAGTATAAATATTGATGTAAGTTGCACAAAATGTAAATTATTATTTAGTTGATTTCAAAACAAATATATGTTCTAGTTCTAGTATTTTAAAATATAACATGATATATGTATTCATATATTACATATTGGTTGGTATGATTTTCGAGTACAGACATATTATTAGAATGATATTGTAAAGGAACTCACAATCTCGCTTTAGTTTGTTTGCATTGTGTACGCGTTGGTGAAACAATTGTCGTTCAATAGACGTCTTTATAATACGGGTTTGTCCCCTCCAATCATTTTTTTCCAAGTGTTTGTTAAATAAAATTTTAAAAAAAGGAATAATTTATATAATATTTTAATTATAGTATAATTCGTATGTATTATGTATGTGTAAATTTAGACTATTTAAAAATGTAATTTATTATTGCCAGTGGTGAAAAATAAAAATAAAAACAAATTTTACCGTTGCAGAATAATTATATAATATACACAATATAATAATATTATACGAAACGTCGTTGATCCCTCTTTCGGTTGGCTATTCCACAAATAACTACCGAAACGAAAATAAAATATAAAAAGTCATACTTTCTTCGCCCACGTATGGCCACCGTCATCGAGATATCCAGTCTTTAATCTTTTGGATACCGTCCAAATTCGATTACCGTCGCCGCTGTCTCCGAGTGTTTTGGAACTTGCAACAGAGTCGGTAATAACCAGGGTTAACGTTTACACAAAGCTTTGACGGACAAAAGAAAGTAAACCGAAAGCAAGAAAATCGTCTCTTCTACAAGGCCCCGGTCCCTGATAACAGTTAACGCGGGCAAGATACTTATCAGTGATAAGTTATCACACAAAAAACGCGGCGGCCATCTTTTCAAGGCTACACCGCTAAAATGTTGTATCAGACTTGTGTTTTGTTTACACATTGAAAGTAGTGACCCGTCTGCCGATTTCATCAGCTATTCCGTGCAAATACAATTACCTAGACAATATGTGTATTTGTACATGTAGAGGAAGAACGCGGAGCAAGTTGATATTTGATGAATGAACTAGTAGCGAGACTGAACGGCGGGGGTGGGCAAGGGGAAACCCGCTTGGGGCACGCGATAATTTGGCGAGTACGGCTTTCACTAAGGGAAAGGGGGTGGTGGTGGTGATGGTGGTTCTTGACGTCACGCCGGTAAAAGGTATTTACTATGTGGTAGGTACTATGTAAAGGGACTGTCGTGTTTGCCGTACGCAGGAATAGCCCCGTTCAGTCTACCCCCTCTGTATGTATGGCGCGTGTAACACTGTTGTTTGCTATGCTATTGATCCGCCGGTCAGGTCGGATAATGTGTGTAGGTATATAGGGTGGCGCACGCACGTCTTTTCCCGGCGGCCTGTAGGTCGTCATAACGCGCGCCCCGTCGCCGAGCTATCGACCGATTGTTTATTTATTTATAAAAAAAAAAATTTGGTGTTTTTTTGCACCGCGCTGTTGCTGTATACAGTGTGTACGCCCCCGCAATGCATTTCAGACCCCTTCGGTTGGCGGACCGATCGATAACCGCGGCGGCGTACAATACACTTTTTACGTTTACCAGCCACGACCGCCGCCTTTGACTTCCACGACGACGATGATAATAATAATAATATTATTATCAACGTTCGTCGGCAGAGGTCGTTCGAGGAGCCACTCGGCGACCTGCCACATTAGGCGAGTGCAAAATATGATATATATAAGTAAATAACGTGGATGAAAATCTGACCGGACTCGGTTGACAAAAATAACGTGTCGATAATACTAGAAAAAGTCTACTTGCTCGTTAATTATACCGTTTACGCCACACGCCGGTTAGGTTTTTAGATGTAAAACTAACTACTCGTGCATTTGTAGTTGACCAAAGTTTTACAACGTTATACATAGTAGGCAATGTTGTTTTTTATTCTCGTAAAACGCTTTAGGCCACTGGTGTACACAGCCATAAGAATTGGTAATTTATTGGTAAGGCACAAAGTTTCGCAGATAATGACAACTCGTCAGTTTTTTAACACTAAGCTAAACTATGACCACTATTTGAATCTTTTTACCGGATGAGAGTGTTCAGCAACACGTGTTTTCCCTGTCGTTGGTTTTTTTTGTTGTGTACAAATGTATTCAGTCGAGAAATTGAGAGTTGGTCTCTGGCCAAACGTCGTGGAAAATAAATGTATCCATACGTTTACCCTTTTTGTATTTGTTTACAGCATTAATGACGTAGTAGCCGCTTAGAATGCAGCATGGGTTTAAAAATAAAGCGAAACAAAATATACAATCTGGACAGCGTTCAGAATCCGGTGTGTGTGTGCACATTGTTGGTCGTTTACTCACTCGGTTTTCCGGGCTTGAAATATTGTTTTTTTGACCTCTCTAATACTTATGGAAAACATCCGTTTGAAAATGTTACAATATCGACCAGAAATTATGGGAAAACGGGCGCATATATGCCTATAACAATCGCTATTAATCGGCTTAACCGGTTGTCAGTAGACTGTCAGTTCCATTTTTGATAATAGGTATAGGTATTGTCTGTAAAATTGAATTTTGTAGAGTTTACACGAAAAAATTACTTTGTTTTGGCGGCAAGACTTTGGTTAAGTTCAAACAGAAAAAAAAAGACTGGTGTAGGAAATTTAATTCGAAACATACATGTTATTCCTTATATAATATTAAATTATTTATGATGTACCCGTGTGAACTGTTGAATTCAGTCCAACAATATACACATATTAAATAAATAACGATATTTATCAACATGCATAAGGCCATGAGAACAGATAACACCGGGTGTTATTATAATACTAGGTTGTAGGTAGGTACCCTAGTTTGAACATCCGGATATATCTCCCAAATCCGGGTTTAACAACCCTACTAATATTTATAATATGTTGCAAACCAAAGTATTAGAATTTGTTATGGTTGTAAATTATAAATTTTTAAAAACTAGGACTTCCTTGGTAAAAAAAATTCTAAACTTTCCAAATGTAATGTTTTTAGTATTAGCAAATTCCAAGCGCTTTAACGGCGGCGCTACACTCAGTTGCCTACGCTCAATAATGGTTTTTATTTTTTTAGACAGCGCCAAGTTTTACCGCACGATAATGAGCTTGTTGGGTTTAGGGAATTTTGAAAAAACGCCTGGCTGTTTTGTGGATTACGTCACTGTCAGATTTTGTTGGCTCTCAGCCTCTGGATTCTTTTTTTTATAAATACACTAGTACAGAGTTGTCTATTCACACACACAACACTATACAGTATTTCTTCCCCCTTCCCCCCACATTCTTGGCGCACACCGTCCCTTTGACAATATAGAAATAGACGCTCGTTTAATTATAGACGTTACAACCGCGGTCATGTTTGATGTTATGTTATACAGCTTTCGAGTATTGAACTTCAAAAAAAAAAGGTGTGTGTTACATAATAATACTGTAAGCTCGTGGGAAGTTCAATACGCCTCGGTTGGGTTCTGGAATTTTGATATGCAACACTAATATAGAAAATAAGAAAAAAAAACAATTAGATTTGTATTCTTAGTTTTTAAATTTTAAGAATAATTGACATTTGTTTGTTTTTAGGTCCCTCCGTTTAGAAGTTTCACTTCAAATTAAAATAAAAACCACTTAAAAATTGTTACTAATACAAAACAACACTTAATAATTTCGAAAAGATATGTCCACTTACAGCCAAAATCGGTATTTTTCTAATTTAATTTTTGTTTATTGGTCATTTCTCAAATTTCAAAACGCGGTATAATTATTTTCTATTTAATTTTAAATTAAAACATTTTTAGTTTTCCTCTATTTCTGAACATATTTTTTGTTTGTGTGGAGATGAGATCTTTTGCTACTGTTCAGGTATAGTACACTGAAAAATGAATATAATAACAAGCAATTAGTAAGACGTGTCTGGTAAACAACAAACTGCGCATTATTATGTGTGTATTTACGTATTGTAATATTATAATATGCATGTGTCTAGTTTGTAAACGAGAGTGAGAGAGGTTACTTAAAGTCAAGGGAAACGAGAATACTTAAAGAGGCTAGACAGCGTCATATACTTCTTTGCCGTTTGCCTCCAACTGTCTTGTATACGTTTCTTTTTATAGGTTTTTAATAAATCTGACAATAAGACCGTTTAACGGGGGCGGAAACAGAGGGGGAGGCTATAGAGGCCTCGAGTACTTAAACTGTATGCATTAAAAGTGTATTTTTATCATAAACTCAATTAAGGGGGTGCTATGAGGAATTAAGCATCCCCAGACTCAAAATTAGCACCCCCAATAATAATAATAATTGAAACCCCAATCCTTGATTTGTATTTTGTGTGCATACAATTTTAATAATGTACATACTCCGTTTTAATTTGTTATTTTTTATAGAATATTTTTGTTTTTAAATATATTATTTTATATCTTATGTTTTGAAGATAAGAATTATGTTTAGACGGATATACATAATTGTAGGTCTAGTTGCGCCTATGATTTTTATGTGTTATTAAGTTATAAGTGGGTTGTGGTCAAGTTAAATTTGTCTTTTGAGTCGTCATCATTTGTTATGTACCAAAATTGGGGCATTCAAAAGCTTTCCGTCTGGCGTAGGTAGGTGTGTAAATATGTAATATACACACACACAATATGGTCGACGACACAGGCGCAACGGCGGCACCGGCTCAAGCGGGATCAATACGGTTCGGCGTCGGCCATGCCTGTCCGGGCCGAAACACGACCTGATGTGTCATCACAAACGGTGATCGATTAGTAGATTTATATAATGTTTGGTGTTTGGCCGCCGATTGCAGTTATTAACAGCGCGCGGATAAGCTGAATTTGTACACGGCCAGCGATTAAATCTATAAGTGTACATATATTATATTTTTTTATGTGAATTCTCATTTATCTCAACAACCACTCACCGATCGCGTTTTTGGCGGTAGATTGTAGTATAGGATGGACGCGAGTAGCAACTGGGACACTTACCTTTGGTATTTCTTTAAGAATGTTCCAGATTTTTCTACCGACTTCTGGAATTTCCGAGAATCTTCCAGGAAGTCCTTGACCGTTTTTGGGGTAGTTTTTACCCCTTACTTTCTTACATACATCCACTCATCGAGAATGTTACAGTTTTACACAATATATTTGTAACTGAAATCTTATATATAATAAAATGTAAGCGTGGTTGTCCGTGCGTGCCGCTATAACTCCGCAAACCACCCTCGCGGTCTCATGGGGGTTATGTGGTATAGTAGCTCTCCATCGCCCATCCATGAAGAAGGTTTCGGTTTGGAACTACAGGGGTTGGGTTCGAAGATATGAGTGTCGAAAGCGGTCATCGCACCAATGGACTTCTTAGGAGAAGTCGGTGAAGTAGCTGGAAAACCCAAAGAATTTATGTATCTATTCACCAAATAATTATATGACAAATGTAGTTTATAAGCAAGTACCTATTGTAATAGAATAAGTTAATTAAGTATGAAATAAAGCGAAAACAAAATAAAATAAGAAGGAAGGGTTTGTTTTACTAAATTAAATACAACTGTACTGAGATTTGATTTAGTTTTATAATTTCTGTACTTAAAGATTCACTTTTTAATGGAAAATAAAATATACAACAACAACAAGCCTCAAGTGTATATAGCTGCTGATAAACAGTGCTGCTGCTACTGTCGAGGGTCAACAATTATTACCTTGTAATCCAAAGATAACCCGCGATCGTTATCGAAGTCGGAGTGTGATTAGAACACAATTATTATTATTAGCGGAGAGCAAACGATAATGATAATATATTAGTCATCAATTATTGTCGGTATTTTTGTGACAATTGCAATCGATACCGATTATCGCAGTGATCTCGTACCGAGGTATTGATCTTGACACCGTATAATCTGATCTAAATAATACACACGGGGTTACTGTATCGATCGTGTAAGATCAATAGCAGCGATGGCCTTGGCTTATCGTTTAATTATTCAATATTATACGACAACGCGTTAGGTAGTGCACGCTTTTTTTGGTTTCCTATGCACAACTGCACCAAAATTGCATACACCGTTCGCCTTTCCTCTTTTTTTTGTTTTTTTGTCTCAACGCCAAAAATCACAAACACCTCTCTGTTCTTGCAGTGACATAAAGCGTGACATTGTTAATTGTTAATCATTTAGACATCATCTGTCTGGGTATCGGTTAGACTAGAAAATATCTAAATAGTTATGAGTATAATTTTAGAATCTCACAATATAGGGTGATCCACTAATAACAATGTTATTACCGAACGTCAAGCAAATATTATAATATTGTGTCTTAATAATATATTCAGCTCATTTTCATTTCAACAGTACACGCATCTCAGACGATAAGTATATTAATTGACAACTATTTCCCCTTGCAATATCACAGCAGAGAGTTTTTAATAAATGAAAGTCTAACGCACATTATTAGGTATTGGCGCGGTGTAAGGCCTGCAAGTGGTCGAAGGTACCACTGTGGCTGTGCCTATACTAATATATTATGAAAGCGGTCTGTTTTATTGACCGTTTTTGTTTATGTAAAAAAATCGCCTTTTAATATTATCCAAAAGTGTTTAAATTAAATTTATTTAATTACAATAAACTGAATTTCTTAAATAAAAATCGTTTCCCAACGTGTACTCATAATTATTTTGTTATGGTGAAACGTTTTTTTTTTTTACCACCTAATGGCCTTAGTAGAAAAACGTGCACATTAAAAGTAATACCGCGAAGCTTAAACAAATTCAGCCTGAAAGTAAACTGACATAGTCGAATTTGATTTAAGTCGTTTTTTTCTTAAATATACATTCATAAAAACGCACCCGCTCTCGGTCCCCTTGACTCTTTGAAAGCCGAGAAATGTCACCAATTATAATAATAATAGACCGAGGGGGCGAGCTAAGACCGCGTGCTCTCCGTTAACGATAATATGTTGAGCCGACATTTTTTTTTATGTGATTATCACTTCTAACCAATGCAAAAAAATACACATATATACCTATTTAAGGGGTTATCAATACTTTAACCACCACACCTCCAAATGGGCATAACAAAAGTGGTGCAATACGCACAGCTAACCGCCGTCCCTCGGTGATGAGCTGTTATGCGGCTTGACAGAAGTATGACGCATAAAATATATAGGAGGGCAGCAGCATGCACAATCATCGTTTTCGGTGCAACGATCCGTCGGCCGGATCGAATAATGGAACGGAGCATTAATAATAATATTAGATAAATAATTACAAGGGACAATAATAATCGTATTAAAACTTGTGTACGGCGTGTTTGTGTGTGTTGTCGATGACGTCACGGGAGCTGTTCTATATTATTATTATTATTATTATTATTATTATTTTGTGCTTCGGGAAACGAGCGGTTGTCGGCATATAATATTATTGATCCATCGCCGCCGGCGTGGAGGCCTTCTTGTTGGAGGTCAAGCCGGTACGTTGCATTTGCGGGTTCATTGGTCTTTTTATGCTGCGCGTACACTGGCGCTCCAAATTGTATACATTTGTGTGTATAATAATATGTGTAATATACATTATGTATACATATAATATGATGATAATATTATTATTACTATTATGCCCGGCTGTGTGTGTGTGTAATCTTAATGCGACGTCACGTGACCTTGGCGAAACATCTCACGAAATCGTCTCTCTCTCTCTGTCTGTCTTTCCCTCTCCGTGTTAGCATATACCCTATTGTTTACACACAACGTATAAGGTCGTTATTTTTTTTTCTACAATTTTATATCTATGCGAACGGCGATGATAATTATTGTACACCGTACACGCGGTTATATGGTAAATACCGCATAATATTATCGCGCGTTTACCTTGAAAAGCGTTTTTTTGTGTATGTTATGAATGCAAACAAGGCGTCATGCACCGGCACCGCATAATAATTATCGTTTAAGCTATATTTTTTTTTTTTTTTAGAAATTAATTTTTTGGCGTACAATTTTTAATGACGTCACTCGACCGACTACCGTTCTACCTATTTCGCGTGTAACAATAATAATAATATACAGGCAGGCTTTTACTTTTCAACGACTACTGCAAACGCTAGGAAAAAAAATGTTAGTAATTAAAACTAGCGTTAAAGGCCAGTGTTCATTTTTCTGCACAACCGAGTTAGTCCACAGAGTATAAATAATAAAAACATTATTTGTACCGTGATGAACATTGAATAACTTTTAAAGAGTTTGGTACACAAAAATGAACATGGAACCTATTGGAAAAAAAAAAATGCCCATTTGCCATTAGTCGTATGGAGCGAAATTTGCCCTTTTTGGAACCAAGAGGTACAATAATCGCGCTTAGGTGAACTGAGAACTCGGGACACCTACAACTGACGTACGCTTCTATTTATAGGTTTACCTAACCGATGGAAAATAATGATAATATGGTTTTCGTTAATTGACGGTTTAATAGCCTCCCAATTTTCAACCGTTGTGTACGGTATAGTATACACAAACACCATAATGTTTACTGTATACACACCGCACACGAGTCGCAGCCAACGCGCCTAAATCATTCTACCTGACCTTATTTCAAATGTTTACAAAACAAACGCGTTTAACGGCCATGACTGTGCAGCAGCAGCTACCAACCATCCCATCTGGAATGCACGCTTTTTTTAAAAAAAATGTATGTTTGTTTTTTACCGCGTCGAATGCTCATGTGGTTTTTATTTTGATTTCAGCGTTAACAGTGAAAAAATCGACGGGCCAACTACGATTCCCGCCGTACCGACCGGTCCTATGATCGATTTCACGGTAATAGACAAACAATAAATAGCTCACAAAATGGAATAGCTTAGAAATTAACAGGTTGCAATTTTTCAGGAATACCTGCGCGGTCCATTATGCAACACCACCGTGGACAAGGAGGCGGTTAAAGAGGACTTTGTCAACGCCTCGATGTTGATAGCCCAAGCGAAGAAGATGGCGAAAGAGACAGATTTATATTTGAAAAACCTCAACGACGTGATCCTGCCGAGGTGTCGATCGGCAGACGTTACCAGCGATTTAATTAAAAAGTATACTATTAATGTGTTATCTACAAATGAAATGTATACATATAATCGTTGATTTTTATTTTTAAAACACACTATTGAAGTAGGTACACAATATTATGTACAATGGCGATTTTTGATTGAATAAACCTAATTAATTTATAATAACTTGCACGTTAGACACGTGCAAGTTTTTTTATGATACAAGCAGCATTCAAAATAATATTAGTAAAAAATCGAAAAACAATCAAATTAAATATTTTTATAAATTAACAATAGGAGTTCAGCAGTTCAGAAATACAATACTGGTATAGAGGTCAGAGGTGTCGATTAAAGCAATTATTGGGAATGAAAGTAAGCGGTTTTTAAGGAGTTTTGTATAGGCAATTATTTCAGAGCCATCTTCTGATCTATGAATTTGTATGCATAATAAATGATCATAGTGTGTGTCAAGTAAACATGAAACAGTGATAGGCCATAGCATTTCAAAACAAAGGTGCAATTACATAATATTTTAAAGATGCAAATATTTGTTCAGTGCTTATTTATATTTACAATGGTTTATTAGGATGAATTAACTAAATATTTTCTATTCAATCTGTTTGTACATACAAGCTGTAAATTTAACGAGTGAATTCCATAATATAAATGTGTAGAAGTCGATTAGATTTTTGTTTCTAATAAGGATTTAATTTTTAATTTCTCTCTAATTGTTCAAAACGGGGTTTATTAAAAATTTCTATGAAAACAATCAATGTTTTAGACATTGTTAAGAGTTTAAATGGTGTTGGTTGTTTGATTTGTTTTGATCTACACGCCATAGGTAATAAAGTATAAAATAAATTTATATACTTAGAGACTATAAATTGTGACTTGAATTAGTTGATAAAAGTTGTTTTTTTAACTGATGTACTATAATATTATTAATTTATTGATTCAAACTGTATTAATAACTGGTTTCCTTATATTTTTTTAGACGCAATAATGTGGATGTAAAAAATTCAAAGCCACTTCGCTCTTACATCATAAAACAAGTAATTATAAACATCAGGTTTAATTATTATTTTATTTTATTATTTAATAAATACAATACATTTCTTTTAATTAAAATATTTATATAGAGTTAAATTATCAGATCACCTTGACACCTATGACATAACTTGCTTAGTGTGGTATAATATACTGTATTTTTAATTAATTTTTTTTAGAAATTTAAAATTAGTCTGGAATAAAATCTAAATATTTTTCTCTAAATTAATTTTAGTCAGATTTTATAATAATTATGATAATCATAAGATACATTTCCATTTAAATAACAAATAATTTACTTAATGCCTATTAATTGTGGAATTTTTGGCCCAACACTGGTTACAACAATTTTTTGGCGACCCAATTTCGAATGAAAACCTATAATAACAGTGCATCCATTTATTATTGTAACGGCTGCCATATTTCATGTGCTGTGGACTTATGAATGTGAATGTGTAATTAATCTATTTTGTCAGACTGAAATAGATCTATTTAACCAGGTCTTGTGTGCAACAAATTGTATACTCAATGAATTATAACGACTCCATTAATCATTAAAAATTAAATTTATGTAACTACAACTAAAATTTATGTATTCATCGCAAATAGAAAAATATTTTATTTTTGAACTATGCATTTTTATTGAAGTTTCCTTTACAGTGTTGTTTGTTGTTGTATTGTAAATACAATTTAAATTGTATGTTTTAGAATCAAAAGAACAACGAACCCAAAAATGGATTACAATTGTCAATGAAACCTATATCTGCGTTTCTCGACAAACGTGAACATGTCGAACAGAACAATACTCGTCCAAAATCAAAGAACAACATTATTAATTTAGGTGTTGTTACTAGTAATATAACATCATCAAAAGACACAAAATCGTCCTCCAAGGAAGATACAGCGAATAATGTGGCTGTAGTGAGTTGTACGGCTAAGAAATCTGACGATCAAGAAAAGCACAATCATAAAATTAAAAATCTGTGCATTCAACGAATTCCTAACATTAGTCTTAAACCAGACTTGGTTACACAGAAATTAACTAAAGTACAAATCAAGCCAGAAAAAAAACAAAACTTAAAGTAATAATAAAGTCGTAACTAAATTGTACGTAACAAGTAAATAATAGTTTGTGTCCACGTTTACAGGAATAGTAATTCAAATACGGCTTATCGCGAATTTACATTTGATTTCGAACCAGAAACTTGTACGTGTCATTTATCGAGCCAATCTAGACCAACCAGAGATGAAACAACTGCTTGTGAAGAAATACAGTGTATCCTGTGCACAATTTTGGAAAATGATTTATCGAATGATGTTTTAAGTAATCAATTAGACAATATACTACAATACTTGCAGAAAAAATTGGATGGAACAACCCATTCAGAGGAGACTAGTTTGAAAGACCTAGATAGGTTGATTAAAGAACATGCTACGACAGGCCTAACCAACAGTGTCATACAACAGCGGTTACTAGAAATAGCTGAACATTTTTTTGAGAATAATATTCAAGGTAGTTGACATCACTTAAGTGTTTTATTATATTTCATTAAATTTTAATAATAAAAATAAATTATATTTAGATGATGCTTTTGACCAAATATCTGAAGAAATAGAAAAAGGGTCCAACCTAGTACTAGACAGATTGAATAAAATCAAAAACTCTTTATTGGCCAGGAATCCATCAACAGAACTTCCCGAAGTACAATCTTGTACACAAAATAACTCAAACAATGTCAATCAATGTTACAATAATCCGAATCATCACAATAATTACACTGAAAATATATTTAAGAAAAGTAATATAATATTTGCGTCTTAGGAATAATTAATTACTATTCTTATTTATGTGTTTTAATTGCAACTAGGTGTAGGAATATTCAAATTATTCGTATTTCGTAGTTTAAATAATTTGAATTATAAAATTTTGATTTCTAATTTTTTAATTTAAATATAGAACAAGACTTTCCATGACCTGTTTCAGAATTCCCTCTGGCCTTCTCCCACGGCCTACAAGTCGTCAATTGTTGTTCAAATTTAAATACAATGTCTGTATTCTAGAATTTTAATAATTTAAACTATTTGAATAATTAATATATTACTACTAGATGAATTAATAAAAACTATTTGAATTATTCAGATTTTAGTATTATATAAAAGTTAAAGTTTATCAAAACCACCCAACTCTAATTGCCATTAAGATAATATATATTTATAGATATGATATGTTTTTAGACAACTATGTCAGTGTAAGAGAATTTTTACAAAGAGGTTCTAACGATTTGCCTGCGTCGAAAATGGGACAGTATGTATTTTAAAAATAATTTAACTATTTATATTATAATGTTTTTCGTTATATTGATTCAATAGGCTTCCAAACAGGTCAGAACTTACGACAAATGTTTACAACATGACTAACATTAATCAAGATTCCGATATCCTGAACAAAGTAAATGACCGCTGCGAATTAAACTCATTTAGTGTGATGAAACAACATTTTGATATTATTAATTTTGATTTTAAATTATTATATGATGATAATAATACAAACTATTCTTTTTTGTAAATTTAAAAAGTTTATTAAAGTAGCATGTTTCAATAGAAAATTAAAATTGTTTAATACATTTCTGTTTTATTTATGACTAAAACTGTATTAACATAATTTGTATTTATTTTATTTGTTAGGAAAAAAACTGCAATTACCTTTAATAAATAAAAATTGAGTTACATTTTTAAATTAAATACGTATAGAATATATTTGTTTACTCTGTCAATTCTTTTAATTGTTTATTGAACACACAAGAAAAGATAATACATGAAAGATAATTTATGAATTAATAATATTTAGTAAATATAACTATCAAAACATGAGTTGTCTAATAATAATAATACACTGTAATATAAATTATTTATTTATTTAGAAACATGAAATAGAGCCAGAACATTTTTTGAGACAGAAAACTACACATTTTCAGCATCTTGATTCTTCATCTTCTCCAATTAAACTTTCTACATCATCAAGTACATCTCTTAGCGTTATATATGGAAAAAATGATTGTAGTGACAATAGTGTAAGCAAACACTATAATATATTTTCTATTTAGCTTTAATAGTTAATGAAAAGAATGACACAAATGATATAGTTGTAATTTTTTATTTTTTTTTTTTGCATAGAAAACCAATTCTATTTATGAAGACGATTGGGAAGATGATGACAGCTCACATTCTGAAGCCATTGCTGGTTTGAATTCTAATGATTTAACTTCCAATAATGTGAACGATAAAGCGTTAATAAAAAGTAATTTTTTGTGATTATTAATAATAGATGTATTTATAGAACTTGTTTATTTATTTGTTGTAATTTATTTAGAGAAAAATGAACACGAGGGATATGAGAATAAAATCAAACATCTGTCTAGGGCTAACAGTAAAAATGATAATTACGAAAATAACGAGATTGAAGACTCGTTTTCAGGTGCATCATGTATAAATAATTTATTCAGCCATTAAAAAACTCAAGCTCAACTTATTAATTTTCCGTAAGTTAAAAGGAAGACTACAATGCTAACCATATTACAGTTATTATAAAATAAATTCAAAATGTAAATATCTTAAAATGAGAATTATAAAAGATGTTAGCGGTCTGGCTAAAAGATTACAAGCATGGCGGTCACACAAGATTTTGTATCTCTCGTGAAATCTACAAACTACAGCTGTTAATTTAAATAAATAACTGTCTTATGAACTTAACTATGTGGGTGGAGGTGATTCAATGGCTCTGTGGGCAATAGTGTTGCTATTGAGCAGATTGACTCTGGGAGATCATTAAATTATTCAATATTAATAATACAACAATATAGCAATTACTAAAATATTATTATCTTTTAATAAAAAAAATTGAATTAAATAATAATTAGCATAATATCTATGTTACTAAACTTAACTAAAATGCAATTGATATCTAATAACAATTATTGTTTAAAGGTGATACCAAAATCGATGCTCCAAGAAAACCGTATGCAACTCAGTTAGTTTTGGAGAATTGAATACTTTAGAACTGTACAACATTAATCCCGATTTATCTATTGGCGAAATAAAAAACTAGTTGTTACTTGTTTATGTCATTTTTATACACTTAAAGTTGTAATTTTTTTCATTTTTTGAATTAGTAAATTTTTTGTATATTTGTACTTAAACGTGCGTTTAATAGTAATTAAATAATAATAATAATATTTTAATTAAATATAAGGATCGTGTCTTAATAAAAAAAAAAAGTATGTAATAAACTAACAATTTGTAAATGTATTATGTTATATAATATTATAAGTATCATAATAATTCTTATATAATGGTAACTGTATAGAGAATATCATATAAATTTTGAACTAAACAATTATCTAACAATACATGCCAGTAACATTCAATGTGAGTATCATCGTGGTAGTAAATAAACTTATGTTAATTAAAATAATTATAAATCTGACTATTATTATAATTATTTATTATTTTTTTAAAGTTTGGCAAATTGTACGTACAAAAATAATTAATATTTATAATAATAGTTAGATTTATAATTATTTTAATTAACATACTAAATTTACTACTACGATGATACATATATCAAGTAAACTGATTAATGGTAATGGTGATACAACTTAATTAACGCCAATATATATATTACTTATTAATAATCTATTGTGGGCTACATTTATGCTAAAACAATATTAAAACATAAATTGATGTTATAAAAATTAAAAACATGTACGTATGGTGGTGACTGGTGAATGTCAGTCGTATAGACAAAACCAAAAGCGAGTAACTGGTTTATAATTTAAACATCTATATAAATTTATACTGATAAGTTTATTTTTTGTTATTTATTTTAAATCAAATTGCTAAATTCGTATAGCAAGATGAACACAATATTATTTCATACTCGTGCAATGGATCAAAATATAAGATAATACAATAACAAAATCAGTAGAAAATACATGAAGCGCGAGTCAAGTAGACTATAAAAGTATTTCCTTAACTAATACTGAATAACGACTTAAGAATTCTTAGGCCGTACGATTTTCTTCTCGTTAGAATACAACTTACAAGACAGGCGCATAGGAACACCTGCTAGCATGTCATCGTCTGCCGAACGTTTAAATTTTCATTATATGGCGGGAATATTTTTGAGGTTAGTTAAATAAAACTGTTTAATTTTGTTACTATATTATTTTAAAACGTACACAAAAATATCTTTGTTGTTTTAAAATAGTTTCAATCGTTTGGCTAAACCGTTTGGGTGATTCAAAAAATTATAAGTTAATTTTTTTACTAAAATTGTTTAACCTCTCCCCGGAAAACGGTTTACACCACTCTGGCGTCGGTCCCGCGTATCCTTCATTCCGCCAGGCGCCATCACGGTACATAAGTTATAATATAGTGTTTTTATTTCTCAGTTCCCGCTATATTTATTGACTGTTTGCTGTTGTCAAATCGCTATTCGATTATCGAGTAATTAAATACGGATAATAATATTTTCCATCGAAAATTCTATCGCTCGTGATTTTGTTTAATGTTGTACGTGTGTTTTTATATCTGATTGTTAAAATCTTTTCTTTACAGATACTCACATGTAAAACTGCACTGTTTGCGTATTCCCGAGTATGTACATAATATTATCTATGTATAATAATTATTGTTGTGTTAAAAAATATTGTAATATTTCATTTATCAATAGTTATAAGCTTAACGCTTAAATACAAAATAAGCGATCTGCGAAGTAGGTTGTTCAAATATTAACTATTTTTCACCTTTTTGCGTTTCTCGAAGTGTGTATCTATTTTCATTTTGTATTTCTTATGTGTAAACACTTGTAGGTATGTGTACGACAACGTCGATGAAACACTATTTCGTTTAAAACACAAGTGCAAGTCTTGCATGATATATAATTAGTTTTATAATATTGTATTCTATATTCAATTCGTTTAAAAACTAATAGTAAATCAAAATATTCAATCGACCTGAAAGTTACACAATTAGTTTGTATATTGGCTTGATCGTTTTGCGTAATCGCATTTAATTTAAACATTGTAGAGAAAAAGTAAGCATTGGTTCCCAGATATGAAGTTTACTTATAACTTTTTCATTTATTGTTGTATTATGTGTCAATGGACATTGGTATGGTTCGTGTATGTTCTAATTAGGTTTATCTTTGGTTTTACACATGCTTTTGTTTTAATTCAAGGTCTGTAATACAGATTTGAACAGTTTATATTGAAATTAACGCAATATAGATTTGACTTGTATATTTTATTTTAGTATTAATTACTTTTATCGATTTGATCATTTTACGAACATTAATTTAATAATTGATTTTGTAGTTAATAAATGATAAGTTATCTTTTGTACGCTAGCTTGCTTTTTTTGAAAAAACAATGTCTTAATATCTATAAGCAAGACTGACGGGTATTCTCTAGTTACAAAAAAACACAAAAGAGAACGCAAAATAAAAACTTTCAAAATTTTCCCACACCGGATTGAGAATGGTACAAATGCCGCCACTCGAGTGCTTAAAAGTTATATTCAACTAATACTGTTCACATTGTATTTAGAATAAAACACATATCATAAGATTTATGTAAACATTACAATGCACAAATTTTTATCATGGTGTACATTTTTATGTGTGCAAGGTTTGGTTATGGCTATTGTTGTGAAAGACATTATTTGTCCAACTATATTCTGCTGATTTATGTTGTTTAAATATTAATTTACTTTATATCTAAAAACATGTATTTTGATTTATAATTATATTATTTAATGGTTACAGACATTAATAATGGAATTATGTGAAACAATGAAAGAACAATTTTTCAATGTAAGTACAAACAACTATTCAACATTTTAATATCTGAATATAGTATTACATGTTAAAGTAAGAATTTTGATACATTATGATGTTTAAATAATGTTCTAAAGTAGTTGTTTTAGAGATTTCAACAATTCATAAAATTCCTATAATTCTCATACATTCATATTATTTTGAAATTATCTCTTAGCTTGGCTAACTAACACTTGGACGTGTATTTTCTATAAGTGTATAGGGTTTAAGTTGAAGAATTTACTAAACATTCTATTTATTTAATAATACTCGGTAATAGTCATTGTTATATTTTCAATAAAACATTATCAAATATTTATACTTGATGAACTGTCTCTGTGTTGGTATCACTGATTCAAATGATATCTCTGACTGACAATTTGCTGCCTACTTTTTCTTTTGAAAGTTTAGAAATTTATTTTTTAGAATTTTATTTAAAGTTCTCTCTTAGTTTTAGTTCTAAATTTAATTATGACAAAGAACAAATTTTGAATTAATGGTAAAGTATACCTATCTATGATTGTTTGCTATATTAAATAAATATAATATTCTAAATTAAATTTTAGATTTTACTATATAGTCAGTACTGAAAATCTTTTCATAATTATTATGTTACGATAAAGTTTTAATTTTTCTTATGTTTTAGTTATTAAAATAAAAACTATGGCTAATAAGATAATAGAAAAATGGTCGCACTCATGTACGAGTCATTGACAAACTTATTTGTGTCAAATGATATTTGAAAATAATAACTTGTGGTCTATGTTTTCTTCGTTCACACAAAAATTTGATACAAATTAAAATTTATTTTGCTCTTTGTTATTGTTTAAGATATAAATGTTGGTCTTCGATTTTGGATCTAGATACTGAATTTTGGATCTAGATACTAAAACTATGATTATCAAGAAAATAACTTGTTTTCAAATTATCCTCTTATAATATTTTCTTCCACACATTTCAGTGGTGTTGCTTAAAATTAGTTCATCATAGTTGTATGTAAGGTATTAAAACGTTTAACATAGATTATGCATAAACAAGCCATGGCATACTGTTTTGGCAACCCAATATCAGACAAAGCTATATTAACCATGTATTCGTTGCTTCCATGTCGTTAACATAATAGTTTCTGCATTTTATATACTTGTTGAAAGTTTAAGTAGGTATTTTAATCTATGGTTTTAACTTAGCTAAGTAAGCCTAGTAATAGAATGGGTTCAAAGATAGTTTAATAACACTGGTATAAACGCTAAATAAACCTGCTAACATATATTGAAAATGTAGGTGGTCAAGTTTCTATAAGTGTAAAAATATGATAAATAAGGTGCTTATTAAAAAAATATACTCTGTATTTACAGGAATCTGAGAAGAACCCAAAATTTGGTGATAATTTTGGAGGATTTGATATTGATGATGACACTTTAGCTATTCTTGTGAATAAAAAGAAGTGTAAGTAGTACAACTGTTTAAAATTTTACTAAAAATTCTTTGATCTCTTATTACTCAATTATTTTTATACTTGGAAGAGTTCATGAAAATATCCAGAAAAGTCACATTTTTCAAAATGGCGATTTTGGTGTCATGAAATTTGTTTTGACATCTGTTTTTTTAAATATGTTTTTCTTAGATTAAAAAAAAAAAATTGTTTCATGGTTATTTACCTGTACTCTTCATTTGACTAATTAATCATTTTTAACTAAAATTTTAGCTATAAAAATGGAACTCAATAAAGTCACAGGAGAACCTATGGAAGTTGATAAAGAGCCCAACAGCCCACCACATGTGAATAATAACAACATTCATCAGAATAACAAACCAAAATCAAATGGTAAGTTTTACTTTTAGTTAGCAAGTTATCTATATAACTGCATCATTTGAGACGGCTAGATCGATTTGGCTCATTTTTTTAGTTGAAAAAAACATTAATTTTGGTCTGTGAAAATAAAATAATATTGAATAACATACGGACATGTTAATTTCTTATAAGAATGTTAAAACACTAATTCTGTTATTACAAAAAAAAGTTATGTTTAATTTATTATTAATTTCACTTAAATAATAAAATTATCAATTTTTATTTATTTGCTTGATTCTATTCGTTTCATTTTTAGTTTCATCGCCAGAAACCAGTGATGCAAAACAAACCCGAAATGGTAATAAAAGACTTAAAAGAGATCTTTCACGTACTGAAGCTATAGAAAATTTGGAGACTAATGAATTACAACCTGGATTAGGTGATTTATAACTTATAGTTGTGTAATTGATAACCAAAATTTGTATGTTAAGTAAATATAATTTTATCGTAACAAAAAATAATTGAAATCGCTTAACTCTCAGAAGTACAAATTATTTGCATTTGTATTATATAATATATATTTTTGTTAGCATCTATAATATGATTTAAAATTAAAAAAATATTGCATAAATCCTGGTTTGAATATCTAAATACATAGCATTTTGCTAATTATTAGTAGTTATTTTTAAATATTTTAAAACTATCTAAATTATCTGTCTATATTTGAGACTGAAAGAAAAAAGGGACGTCGGGTGGCAAAAATCAAATTTTGAGTTATTGGTTATTCCAAATTCTGGTCATTTTGAGACCAGAATCATTCTCCTTTCTTGAAAATAAGCCAAGTTATATTTCTTTGAAATTATCTTTTGGAAAATGAGTATTTTGAAGAAAAAAAAAACACTTATGTTGTGAAATGTTGCCAATTTTTCATTTTACATATTTAAGGTATGAAACTTAACCAACAAATAAAATAGTGCCTCTAAGCAGATAACAAAATGTTTTTTCTTAAATATTTTTCCGACCCGATCAATGTTTTGGGTTCTCTTGTGATTTAGATTTTCGCAACGAAAAGGTTCCTTCTCCCTTTCTGCCTCTCATATAATAAATCTAATATGTAGTATTCTTTCATTTTACTTATATGTTGTGTGGTTTTAAAATTTTTATAGAATTAACAACTCCAACCTTTAATCTTACGTCATCAGCACCTCGAAGTCGGAAAAGTGTTGGAAGAAAAATGAATGTTGACATTAGTGACCCAATTTATAAACTCCCATTTGATTTTGGTGAGTTCACACTTAAACAATTTTATGCTTCGAACATTTTAAAGAGAAACAAAAAAAAAAAAATTCCAGGTTGGAAAAGAGAGCTGGTTTATAGAACAACAGGAGATTCTGCATCTAATAAATCTAACAGAAGTGGTGATGTGTACTATTATTCTCCAACTAATAAAAAACTTCGATCGTTAAGAGAAATACAAGAACAGTTGGATTTATCTAACGATGGTCTTTTAAGTATAGAAAGTTTTACATTTTTAAAACAACCTTTGGGCTTAGATGATCGAACTAAGGAAATAATCAGAGAAGCAAATACTAAGTTATCTAAAGTAAGAAAAGCTAACTAAATTGCTCATTTTTTTTTTAAGATAAATATATTGTAAGCTTTGTTTTATAGGAAGATTCATTTACTGGGACTGGTAGTAAATCTAAAAAAGTGAAAACTCCTATTCGACAACCTATAGTAGACAACATTCGTGAGTTATCCGATGACGAAAACGAGAAGACATCAACAAAAATGAAAGTTGTATTTAAAAATGTTAAAGGTTCTAAATCAAAGTCAAAAAAAGAAAAAGGTAAATTAAATATATTAGAATGGTTATTATAACATTTTAATATGGATATAATAATAATACTTTTAATTGTTCGTATTATAATATATTTCTTATACTTGTTATGGACCATGTAGAGTCTTTGAACACATCGTTATCAACTCCAGAATATATAGCTGAAGACTGGCAAGCAATACAATCCAGTGCTACGACCACTTCCCCTACAAAATCTAATGACGCTGAAACTTCTAATTCTACTAGCAATAAAAGAAGGTAAATTTTAGATTTTTCCTACCGAAGTTGCATAATTTTTTTTTTTTGCTTATTAGTTTGTTTTTTAATGCTTTACTCATGTAATGCAAAACTATGGGGTTGTTTTCCTTATGCTTCCTTCTCATAATCCTTCCTTGTTGATACCATATACGTGAATGGATAAAAAAAAATTAGGTTGTCAACATCAGATGGAGAGGTTATTATGCAGGCACCATGTGGCATACGGTGTGCCAACAGTAAAGAACCAGCGACACTAATGTGTGCACAATGTTTGGTGTACTATCATCCGGCTTGTGTCAATCTAAATGCTAATCTCAAAATTATTGGATACGTGTGTGTTGTGAGTATTTTTCGTCATATACTTCCACTTGACATAATCATATATGTCTTTATATAGTTCTATTGTTGATTATATTATAAGCAGAGAAGCAATCTTATTTTTAAATTTGACAGCAACTAATATGAATTCGAGGGTATGCAAGTACACAGTATTATAGTGTGAGTCCGTGTCTTTAAGTTTTAGTACCGTTACATTTTCAGTCCCTTTTGAATGTATGTTAGTAGCTGGCAAATTTAACACAATAGTATGGCAGCTTATCTGTGTATATTAAAAACAACCGATCAATATTATTTTAGAATTGTCGATCATCTGTACGCCAAAGAAATAGACGACCTCAACCATCTCATACTGTCATTGTCGGTAGTTCTGAACCTGAACAATTACGTGTTGAACCAATACGTATCCGACAAGTAGCTCAAACAACAGATTCCCCAAATTTTTTCATCGATCGAACGCCTAGAAGAGAAGAACCCACTAATACCGCCGATGAACTGTCTGAAAATGATGAAAGTTTAAATACAACATCTACAAGTACAGTGATTTGTCAAGGTACCCCTTGCACAACTACAATGGTAGATGGTATGTTTCATCCTCAATATGTTTATGAAATGAAACAAACCCGAGGACCTAGTCTAATGACATGTGTCATCCAAGAACCTAAAAATTTAGATGGGTAAGTAAATTTGAATTTTCTCAACAGTGAGTTTAATATTGACCAGGCACACAAAAGCGTTTGTCACTGGTCTTTTTTTTTTATATAAAGGAGAGTAAGCTGTATATATTTTTTATTACTTTAATCATTTGATTATGTTTGTTTTCAGATTTGAGCGGAAAATCTTCATCCTTAATTTTCCTTCCAACCCCTATTTTTTTTTTATACATAAATATCTTGAACTAGTTCGTAGGCCTTTGTTATTTGCATGTTTAAAGCAAGTGGTCTTTATATGTGCCTGGTCGAGAACAAAAATTAAATAATTTTTTTTAAAAGCTTTGAGTCTACTAATATTTTTACAAAGCAAAACATAAATAAATTTTAAATATGCATTGTCATTCAGGTTTTCTGAAATAAATGGATCGTTATTGGAGTCGCCTGTTCCAATTGCATCCATGCAATCGTTTAATTATATGGCCACGGCTATGAGGAACGTATTCAAGTATTTAAAAGTTCAGGAACTCCTTTCAGCATCTCGAGTGTGTCCTGCTTGGAACATGATAGCTATGAATAGAATGTTGGTAAGTCGTACAAACAAATCCAACAATAATATTATTTGAGATATAATAAATTAATGTTAAATATGTTTTAGTGGCAAAATATTCGTTTAAAGAATTCTCAAGTTCGCGATTGGGAAAAATTTGCAGACACAATTAACAGGCAAGGGACAGAAGTGTTGGATACAAGGCGTATGTTGATACCATCTAAATTAGATGATTTCGACAGTTTCTGGTTATGTTTCTCTGCGGCAATAAAGAAAGCCAAAAATTTAAAAAACATTGAGTTGTACAGATGTCCGACACATGTGGTGGAAGATACCATTTATGCACTACCACAACTTGTTATACTTAATGCCACATCAATAAAGTAAATACCTATACATCTCATTTAATTAGTATATGTAATTAATTTTTATTTAATTTTATAGAAATCCACTTTTGACAAAAGAAGCCAAAAATTGTGCAGAGTTTATGCCATTAAATCTCAAGTACCTCGGTCAAATGACAAACCTCACTGAAATCAGAATAAAAAGTTTTAATGGCATTAAATTAACCTCATTAGCATCGTTGGACAAATTAGTTCACTTGAAAACTTTAGTAAGTCTTCATTATAGTTAATACCCAAAAATAAAAAAATTAATGTCAATGTTTTTTTTTTGTGTAGTCTTTGACTTCTATTAAAAATTTCCCGAAAGATATTTGCAAAAGTTTGGACACTGTAACTGTTGACTTGGAATTTTTGGAGATTGGCGATTGTGATTGTTTGTCTAACGAATTTGCTGTATCATTAAGACGATTTGTCAATTTAAGATCACTGAGGTTAGAAAACTGTTGTGGACGTTGGGATTCTTATGTCCAATCAGTTTTCAGCGCCATCAGAAGCCTTGACAAGCTCAGTATTCTGGAACTAATTAATGTCGAGTTCAGTAATACTGTAGAAGATGAATTAGAAAAATGTGATGGCATCAGAGCATTGCTCATTATTCCTGCGTATATTAGCCAAGTAAGTATTTCTATTACTGTTAATCTGTAGTTTACATTGGAGATGATATCCAATCAATGTAGCAAGTACAAAATAGCAAAGGACATTTATAACAATATATATTATTTTTTAAATTACAAATATTTTATATAAATACATTTTTAAATTATACCAAATGTTATTGGGGTGGCAAGTTAAATATCAGTGGCTTAGAAGTTATAGATTCCAGAAAAATAAATACATTGTTGTAAAAACAAAACTTTTTCTGCTCCGTATCTATAACTTAAATATAACTTATACATGCGATTGAATTTTACATGTTACAATAATTACTGTATATATTGGCGAAAGTATTAAAATGTTGTGATTTTATTTTTGATTTATATAAAGACACGTCTTCTAAGTATTTTCATTACCGACTATTGTTTTAAGATATTTTCTATAATTTTAGAGTGGTGATATCGACGTAACTCTTTGATGTCCTTATAAGAGTTTTGCTGTATTGACCCGGAACCATATTTGTAATATTTATTATTTATTATTTTTTTGCAGTCTGCAACGACTAACTGTCACCTAATTGATTGTCTGAAGAAACTTTCTGGCACTTTAACGCACGTAGTTTGGGGATTAACCCATGAACTATTACGTGTCACAGACCTATTCATCACACAGTACCAACAAAATCAACATACAATTGGCTATAACTTGGAACTATCACATACAAAAGAAACTTCCAACAACATACCTATACTGAGAACGAGGAAGAAGAAAGATCAGTCTGGAGAGGCTACATCCGATAAAGATGAGAAACAAGACAGTGTTGACATATTATCAGTGCCCGCGCTGGAGACGTTATTAGAGACTATGATGATCGGCGCAAAAACCAAAGTGATTAAAGTTCCGTTTTCTGCAACAAACCGAGTATATTTAGCAGAACAATTCAACGATCTTTAAACGATTATTGTTTAGTTTTTTTTGTCTCAATACTGGAGAATGAATTGTCTTGTCTGTGAAAAACTATTTAATGTATTATTATTTAAATTTTGTAGTACGATAGAAAAGATCATTCATTTTTCACCATACTTTAACCAGATAACTCGAATTAAGTAATTATTAATATTTAATAGTAATATTTATATAGATGAGTTCGTATAATTATTACAATGCATATTTTGTTTTTTCTTTTTTGTACATATTAAATAAGTTGACATTTTATATTTTTTTAAGTATACAATGGGCAAATGACTAATGAATAATTACTGCTCGTTTCATGACAAAAAATATAAAATGTATTATGTAAGTACCTTACTGTTTCAATGAAAAGTCAAGTAAAATGTATATTTGCTAGAACTTTTATTTTTATTGTATAGTAAATATGTTTAAAATTAAAAATATGTCTAATTCTCATTGTAATACTAGTACTTTATTTTGAGAATTAAACTTAATACTGTTTTGTAATATTTTTTATAATAAGCCGTGCTGTATATTCTATAATTACGTGTGTACCTACCACGTTTGAAAGTAAAACAATTTGTATTGGGCAACAGTTTCAACGGAGTAGCATAGCAATATCATGTTTTCTACAGACTTGTAAACATACTATATATATATATATATTTATATAAAAAAAAATACATTGCTAATAATTTGGCTTTTTTTTATAAGCATTGTACGCAGATTAAAAAAAAAACATTGAAAGAAAGTGTACATTTTTCATATCTATTAATACTATAAAATAATATTTAATTATACTGTTGATGGTATATTGTTAACATTTGTAACAACTATATATAAATTGCAGCTATGAGTTCTAGTGTGGGTTCGATACACTATCTTGTTTTATACATTTTATGAAGTTTAAAAAAAAAATGATAGATTGTACCTATTTGATATGATTTACCTAGAAAATGCAATCATCTGAGACTCGGATTTGACAATGTCCGTAACCATAACAATCTTCTAATCAGAATACATAGTGTCATAATAGTTTAAACATACAAAAATCATGTAATCATTACATAATTCAAATCATTATGTGCCCTTTTTTGTCAACCAATTTTTGGACGCAAAACAATATTAAACTTATGTAATTCCTTCGTTCAGCACGGTTGCCGTATTTCATGGTCCGTGGACCATCATGTATATATATATGTAGTAGATAAAATATCTATTATTGACTGGGTGTTAATAGTATAGATTAATTTAAAACGTATATTTTATTCTATAGAATTATAAGTCTATGACAGAAGTCAGAACCTATAACATATTATTCCAGTTTGCCCGTTGCCGTTTGTCTAATCTCTGTTTAAAATAATTATCACAATTCACAAACTGTTGATAACGTAGTACGTGTATTGTGTGGGAGACTAAAGATAAATTGTATTTGTATGTGAGAATAAAGCATGATTATTGTGATTTGTGTTAACGCCTTTTAACATTCATGATTAGAACGAAGAATGAAAATGACAAATGTTAAATTACAGGTGTATAAAACCACAAATCTTTTCAGGGCGATTCATTATGAACTATGAAGTACGTGAAATATCATCTTTTGTGGTAAATTTTTGTTCGAAAAACGTTTCACACATAATTGTGTTTTTTTAAATATTATAATAATATACCTAATACGAATTAACTTAGTAGTCATGTCCAAGGTCATTAGTTTTAAATATATCTTACCATTTGTTTTATTGTTACCAGAAATTTGTACCGTTCCCCAAGAGTAAGTAATTCTAATTTATCACTTAATATAATTTAAGTTATTTTCCCTTTACGTTACGTTATAAATATTGCAATTTTCTATTTGCTTTAGAGAAATATTACCCGAAGGTTGTGAAGAGCTTTTAGAACTTTTTGCCAATGACACGGCTAAGTTTACAATGTGTGTTGTTACCAACGCTCGTCCAATCAGAATATGTGAAAATTGTGTGAACGAATACTATCAAGTCAAGCAAAGATACGAAAACATTCAAAGGGTATGTTGATTAATAAATTTTTCAGCAATTCTTAATTTGATTTTTTTAAATTTCATTCATAGTTACACCACAATGACAGTAAAATTGATTGTCCAGCACTTTTAAACAATATAGATCGACTACACGTTGTATTGTATAGTTACGATTATGTTATAAATATGTGGAAGAAAGCATCATGTTCCTGTATGTATATATATTTTTTGTTTGCAATAACTTGGTGCTTAGCTGTAATAATATAATATATACAGACGATCAATTTTTATTTCACAGTGTGCTTAAATGATAAAGTGCCGAATGACCAAACTAAGCATGTAATGATGTTGGGTAAATTATTCGAATCGTGCATATCAAACCATATTAACAGCTCTAACTCAAATTCTACAGTTTGTGTTGATTGCAAAGGTGATTATCTGAATTTAACCAATTACTATAACGAGTACAAAAAAACAAGAGAATTTTGTATGGACGTCGTTGATTTAGTAAGCGCATCCTATTAATGTAGCATTTCAACAAGAGATTAGTATATTCTATAATATATTTTTGTATCTAACAGATCAACATCACTCAAATTGAATGGAGCATTGAGTTGAATTGCCATGTACCAAACTATAAGTCTGATTGGACACTGATAGTAATTGCATCTGCTGTATTACTAGCTCCTATTTTGTTTTACTTAGTTAATTGGTTAATGTCTAAGGAAAGGTCAAATGTACTTTTATCTCGTGAGTATTATTACTTATTATTTATTATGTTCATTACTGATTGTTACGAATGGGTGTGCGATCATCTACACGTTGAACATCGCAGTACAACAATTGTTAGATAGGAAAAAATTATTATAAATGGACTTAACGTTTACACTTTTCTGTTTTGTATGAGTTTTTCAAACAAATCATTAAAGTTACAAAATTAATAACTGTACTTGAGTAACCTTCATTAACTGACAAAAATTGTTTAAATAAAAATATTACGATCGGATCACACAACATTTTTGACATGGTACAATATTTAGCCTCGGTGCTGTAAATTTATATTTTTAAAATATCATTTCCATGTTGTGTAACAATTGAAAAAATAAATAATTCGATCACAGCATAGTCCAAACTCTGTTATTTGAATTCTTATTGATATAAAATATAAGTATAGATCATTTTACAATAATTTATTGTACAACGATGAATTCATTATGCTAAGTAATAAAATATCTATTTTGTTTTGTATCTAGCCTCCTAGTGGTAGTGCTCGCTGTGTTTACACCACATTAACTGAAAACCACGCACTGCATCTAAATACATGAGGTCAGTCGTGCGATACGCAACAGACAAAAAATATTTCTCAGGCAACCTTGAGAGTGGTGTAAATACTGCAGCACGACTGCTAACGGGGTTTCTAAGGCACGACTGTTTGGAGGTTAAAACCAAGTACGGAATTAAAATTTTAATTTTCCAGAGAACCGTTGGCAAGAAAGGTTTATTCATAGTTCTGCATCCACGTCCGGTTACGTTTCAATTTCCTAAAGCGATACTTTAAGTATACAATACTTTTGATTGAATCCTGCTGATGGATATATTTTATATTACCAAACTGATAAATATCCATTGAAACTATTATCAAATAAATATTTATGTATATATATATATATATATATATATATATATTGTTAACTATTATTAGTACACATTAAATATTTAATATAATCTGAATTAACATTTTAGTACTGTGATATTTATAAATTAAGTGACCATTTAATATTATTTATTATATAACATATTTTACTTTAAAACATTTTCTCGTGTCATTTGTTAAATCATTAAAAGTATTTTTTTATTTACAATTATATATTTTTACAAATAAAACTATATTATTTATAAACATTAGAAGAGTTTATTAATGTTATGATATATTTTTAACAACTAAACTTTTTTATAGTGGAAAGATGTTACTTTACCAATACAACATTAGTCACATTATAAACACAAGTCTTTGAGAAAATGAGATTGGTAAATTAAGGTGTTTTAGGTATGTTTAGGAGAGAAGCAGAAAGGAAGCCCTATAAAAAATGGGTGGATGTTACAATAACCTCTTTTTATTTGTTAGTTTTTAAACAATGGTAACATTTACCTTCTAAAGGACCCATTAAAATACATTAAATATATTAGATATGTAAATACGAAACATATTAAACAGAATTCATGTATTTAAACATTTGATACTCATAATCGATATAAATATTTTGTATATTTTATGATAACTGTGCTTAGTATGTAAAGTATATGAGTAAATAATAATTTGGGTTAAATACAAAATTTAAGCTCTAAAATGTTGAATACAACTAAATTTCTTACATTTAATTTGCATTAAGAGGACGTCGCAGTCAAATATTTCGAGTACTAAAACACCGCTTCGGACTTCAAATAGTACTCAGAAACTATTAATCGTAGAATAAATCTAAGGATACCTAAAGAAAGCCTGGAATGTCTACTATGTGCGTATAGAGCCATATTTCCAAAAAAAAATTGTTTACTTATAGTTATTTCAAAAATTTTTTTACTTTTTTCAAACGTTCATAAAACCATTGTAAATAAAGTTATCGAAAAAAACTTTCTATAGGCACGTAGAAAAAGTTCTGATCTTTCATATGGTACTATAAACAATTTTCTATCACCAAAAGCGTACGAGTACTATTTGAAGTGCGAAGGGATGTTTTTTGAATTTTTATAATAATTATTACGTCGAGAGCTGGCGCGCCTAGCGGCAATTTACCACATATCTTTATACGTTCGGAAAACCGGTTTTGGGCCGACAGCCGTAGCCGCGGCGACAGCGAAAACGTCAACGGTGACACCGCAATTATATTATTACCTGAAGTAAAAACAGATAACCCAATTTTTAACAATCAATTCTCAATAACAAACAAATATTATATTTTACTTGCGCAGCGATACTGTTATTTAATATTTGCTATTTTATGTTCATTATTTTATAGAGAATTAGCTGAAGAAGCCAGCTTAAGTCGCTAAGTCGCTTGTATGAAAAAGGTAGCAATTGTAGTAAATTATAATTTGTAAAAATTGTGATTTAAAAAATGGTTTAGGGAACGGGGGGAGGGAGGGGGTTATTGCACACTGTAAAAAAATCGGAAAAATATTCAAATACCTCTCCGAAAAACCGAAACATTGTAATACAATGTTTACACCCCAGACCAAAATTAGTGTGGGGCCCCCTCCCCTCCTCAGACCAAAATTGGAAATTTTTAAGTTGCTATGTGTAAATTAATCAACAGTCAATTTTTAGTTGCAATAAATCATATAGATCAGTAATGTATTTTAAACAACATTTTGATTTTTGGGGGGTCTCCATTTCTTTTTTGTATTACCTGGTGTCCGTAATTTCTATATTCTTATTTTTCGTAAAGACGGTTTTTTACTCTCAATCTAAGCCACCCCCCTCATTCAATGCCGACCACTAAAAACGTATTTATCCAACATAAATATTTGAAAAATGAATTTGTCAAACGTTCTAAGTGCCAAAGTATAAAAATTGAACTTTATAATTTAAATTGTATTTTATCCATTACCGGTGTGGTGCACCGGTCGGATGACCGCGTACAAAACACCGTAAACGACCAACGTTTGTAACGAAAAACTAGGAGTAGGTATTTTAATGAATAAGTTAAACTTTTGAATTAATTGTAATAGACATATAATAATGTTTAATAAATTTGATATAATAATAATGTTTAATCAATTTTGAAGTTAATAACTGAGTAGTGCAATCAATCCTATCGTTAATTGACTACCGACTACTCGACGCCGTCGCTCTACTCGAACATAATCAAATAATCAATTAAAAGAATAAAGTATAATTAAATTATTACAAGGGGACACCCATTGGTCACGTCTTAGTGACCATGCATAGACGCGAAAGGAGGACATGCCCTTATAGGGACCCATGTGCACTACGTGGGTTTACTACACCGGAAAGAATTTTGTAAATTTCAAGTAAGGAATAGATATTTATTAAAAAAAACAATCATATTTAAAACTCAAAAATATGTTATGTTTCCGCTAGTGAAATAAAAAAATAAAATTATAAAGTTCAATTTTTATACTTTAGCACTTGGAACGTTTGACAAATTAACTCTTCATTTATACTATAATTTATTTTTCTATATAATTACAATTTATAAATTAAAGAGTATTACTCACAATATATTTCAATTATGATTTCGTATTCTATTTTTATTTTTTTTTTATAACAAAGCTAAATTCCGCAATAATGACGGCGGTGACCACCATAATTTTCGGGATAACAACAGATAATCTAAGCTTATCTAATTATATTATTTGTAAATATTGTAGAAATATGACTTTACTTGGGAAATACTGTATTTTTGTTGCACAGAGAAGCCACATTTTTATTTTTCCTATTGTGTTGTGTGTTTTATAGATAAAAATTATAATACAAAATTTACATATGTACACATTGTTTTTTTATGAAATAGTATTAGATTTATATATAATTATTATTTAATGAAATAAATCATAGAATATTATATATGACCCGTCCAGCACTTAAAGTTTATAACGGATACTCGTACCATTATACAATTATTATTCTATTGATGAATTTTTATAAACATGTTTTCAATTATTAATTTTGGATTTATAAATGAATTATCAGAAAGCTGAAATGTTTTACATATAATACTGATTTTTAATGATTTTGTTTGGTGACCTATAATACTATAAAAAAAAAAACAGTAAAAAAGAAAAAAAACTAAAATATTCATTACGACCATTGCCAATATAGGCTAAGCAAATTTGGAAACACGTATTTTATTGTAACAGACATGCAAAATAAGTATGCTCCAATATAAATGTTAATAAGTAAGTACGCTATACGAGGTACCAAGTTTATTCTGATATCTGAGAAAATTATTTATACGCTAAAAAAAAGTAATTAAGTTATCAGAATGATTCAAACTATGATGGGTATTGTATTTTCTACTCAGTCCATTGTTATATAAATGTTAATGAACAGTAGCTATAAAAAGATTTACTCGAGATTGTAACACGCGCGCGAGCTCGCGAATGTTTACCGCGACGAATCATACGTTTCCAGCATAATATTGTTTTTACTAGATCGGCAGTCGGTGATAGAATAATGTGCCGCTCTGATAATACTACAACGCGCCGCCGCAGCACTCGTATGGGCGTGACTATAAACCGCCGCCGCCGCGCCGAGATGGAGAATAACGCCATCTCTCGGGAGTTGTATACGTAACACTTTACCTGCGACGTCCTCTTAAGTCATAATAAATAATATTAAGTAGGTATAGTTTTATCGAATTTAATTTTTTTGATTAAAATTGTATCAAACATACCGAGTACAGTTGACAGTAGTTTTTTCCAATACATTCATATAATTACAGAAAAAAAGTTTCAATTTTTGTGTGTAAATATATATGTATATAATCTTCAATATTTATGTATGTCATCACATATTCATTTTAAGGACTCCAGTATTTAAAAAATAATTACATAAATAAATAATAATAATACAGTTATCAAACTTATTTGTATGTATATACATATAAACCATTAACTGTCGATAATTTTACATTTTCAGTTTCTTCGGTTGGATTTTCTCATTGTGGCCGTTGAAACTGTTTTAAAACCTAAAATGTTTTTTTTTTTTACTTTAAATTAAAAATGATATACATCTAAAAACTAATACATAAAATAATACTTGTGTAGTTTTGTTATTTACATATTCTAAAGTTTAATTATATTTTAAAAACATACCAGACAAAAAGGTGGTTTTAAGAGAAACAGCTCGATGGGTGTACATATAATAATATTTATTATTTCTGTACTGCATTAAATACATTTTATACTTACTCTGTTGAGTTTATTGAATGAAGATCATCGATTTTTTACTTTTTTTGTGCTAGAAGCACGTTTGGCAGACGCTAACACGTTTCTAGGTGTGGATGGACCATTTGTTAGACTATTCGTTTTACCGCTTTCTTTGGTGACGTTATCTTCACTACCGCTGTTACCAGTTTGAGATTCTGTTTCGCTATTGATTTCCGCTAATGATAAAAAAACATACATATTTATACTGTGTTATAGTACAACTCGGGATGCTCTTTACAAAAACTAGCACGTATCTTGTGCTACTAGTTTAGTATTAAATTGTACGTTTTAGTGGGAACACTTCATTTTTGATGAAAATTATATATAATTTTATAGTGAGTATCGCCACAATTGATGTATTTAAAAAAATTAACAATGACAAGCTGATGTAAAAAGTAAACGAGTCAAGATTTAACAGTTCTAATTTACCAACAGATTTTTGAGCAGAATTTAGTTTTTACAATCTCATTACCACAACTAGTGTGGTGTAGTGTATACTAGTTAAACTAAAATCTCAAATATACCATAGAAAAAAATAGTTGTCCCATAAAAGATTACATTAGTCAATTAATTTCTAAATAAAATAACGAAAAAATGTATTTACCTTTTTCTTGAGCTTCTACGAGACCACTTACAGCCTGAATAAAATGATTAAAATATTTGATTAATAAATCAGATACCTAATCATTGAATAATTAGTAGACTGGTCGTGAGAATAAAATAATATAAGGGGCTGTTTAGTATAAATAGAAAAACAATTTTTATATCCAATAATTAATCTAAGATTATATATATATATATATATATTTATTAAGTTTGTAAACGATGTGGATTGCTTCACAGACCAGCCATACATAATAAATACAACATGGTAAAATAGTAATAATTGTTTTAAAAACCGTACTGCCATAGATGTGATGGACGATTTAGAAAATAATCGTTCAGCCTCCTTGAACTTCCTATTACGGGGTTCATTTTTCGTGTTGGGAAGCTTATTAGCTGAAGTCAGATACCTGTCCCATCCACGGATAATATTTCCGTACAAATGTGTGTCTTCTAGGTAACTTCCTTCAAACGCATATATTTGACGTTCAAGGTTAGCTAAAGTTTCCTGTAAAAGTAAAACGTTATTAATGAAATCCACTGACGATCAAAATAAATACCAGTCGGTTTTCATAAAACTACAATCGTTAAATCTCACATTTAAACTTGAAATATTGTATCTTTTTTAACATGCTAATCTTCATAACGTAACTTTTAACAAGTAACCTAATAAGTGAGATTAGTTTTGTTTTTTATTGTAGAAATTTACGGTTGCTAAGTTGAGCGTAGAGTATCATCACTTTTCAAGATTTGTATGTTTTATTTTTTTTTTAATTCGTACGACTTACGGCGATGTCCGATTTGCGTTTGACGAGTTCGGCCAATTCGGTGCGCAGGTCACTGGAATTGGACGATTTCGACATGGTGGCGACGAGTCGCGCACTGCCTTTTTTGATATATCAACGGTGGTACGTACCTATTTTATCGCTGAAATTTTGTTCAAAATACCGTACACTCGATTCTGTAATATAATATCGTAATATGAAATCGTAAATACGCGATTCGGCGCTAAAATATCCAAACGCTGCAAGTGATAACCGATAACGCGTGTAATCAATGTATTGTTGTTGTTGTTGTTGGCGTCGTCTCCGGTGGTCTGCGGTAACCGCGGTAAAAACCACCGGCGTAACAAAAGAACTGTCGGCCGGTCGCGTTGGTACGCCCGGAGGTCGTTCAGGTTGGCCGCACTGGGCGCGGTTCGACAATTTTTTTGTGTACTTGGTGTAGGCGGCGCGCAGCATCCGCGGGCGGCGGCCGCTGTTACGCTGTGCTGCGATGGATATAGATGTTTACCGTGGGGTGGCGGCGGGCGTCGGAGGGATGCAAATAAAAAATTAAAAAAAAAAAAAAAGATAATACCGTTTGTATAGAAGCAGCTATATAGGTAGCCTTCGTAATGCGCTTTGATGTGCGTGGTGCGCCGGAGTCGGTTTGTATTGGTAATGGACGCTCGTTCGGGGCGAAGATAATAGTATTGACATCTGGACCCGCCGATATTGTCATGCCGGTCGCCGGACGTGGTGTACTCGGAATTTACAGATGTTATACATGAAGCTGCCGATATTGCAGCAGCAGCAGGGGCGCCGTGGTGTGTGTGATAGCGGATTTCGGTGTTTGTCATCTGTTGTGGTCGTCAAAACATTGCGCCGGTGGATCGTCGGCGACGGCCAAAGGTAACCGCGGACGCAATCAACGGTCGTTACTGTTTGTTGGTAAACGACAGTAAAAAAATAAAATCAATAACAAGTACAATATATACAGTCTTAGGCGTTTTGTTTTGTTGGTGTACAGCTAAGTTAAGAAGTCTGTGTCGAGTATTATATAAATTATGCGGACTGTGTGCATTTGTAGTATTTTCACTGTTGTGTCGTTTTCATAGCTCACACACAATTTCATAAAACTTTTGCAATGTTTTTTTTCTTCAAAAGTTATTTCAGCTTATATAATATCGAATCGACAGTCTGTGAGATCATACAAAACCAATACACTACGCCTCGATAGATCAGTGTTTATTCAATGTAAATATATAAAATCCGGACTTGGTAACGTTAATTGTTATACAACAGTAATTGTAATAGTCTAATGTAGTCAAACATTATTCATTCAAATGTGTTTCACCATAACGAGAGTAGGAATAGGTTTTTTTCTCACATATAATTTAATATCTTTTAACATTTTTCTTTTTGTTTCTTTTAAATAACTTGACGACTGTTATTTATTAAAATATAATATCTACTCTTTGGAAAAAGTGTATTGGAAATAATTGTTTTTAGAGTAATTAAAAGTCACTTTGTTTATCAAGTTGTAAAAAAGATTTTAAAAGTTTTATTCTTTACATTATTGCAAAATAGTTTTTTTTAAAAATATGCTCGATTTAAAAATAGTCCAATATTTTAGTTAGAACTTTTTTTTTGCATTGTCTACTAAAATGTGTATTAAATTTAATGTAATCTATTACAAATTTTCACAAACTAAATATTGTTAAGTGTACAAATTTTTGATATTAACAAAAAAGAATATTTAAAATTTATTTTACAGGATTGTAGTAAACAAATTAATTTATTATAAAATAAACAAATAATTTTAAAAAAATGGCACCTAAATGTATTAAAATGTATTTTTAAATACACCTATTAAAAGTATTTAAAATATTCCGATGCTTCCAAAAAATGTTCAAAATTAACATTATAAATTAAAAATAATTCTTAGTGAAAATTTCTTAGTGCTCTTATAGCTAATTTAAAATTAACTCCAACCGAGTTTGTTATTTATTTTATTGCAATAAAAGAAATACCTACTAAAATTGATGCACTGGTGTATTACCTGACTGTTAACTCATTAAATGTAAGATTGTACAGTATAACTTTATTTACACAACTGTTTAGAGTTGTAGGTATAAACACTTTTTTTTTCTATAGCTTTGAAAACTTTAAAAATTTTTGTACATATTAAAATTGTATAGTTTTAAATAATAACATTCACGCTAATGGCCCAGCTGCCAAAATATTAATAAAAAAAAAAAAATGAAAGATAACATAGAATTTATTTATTGGATTTCAGATTTAAAGTATCCAGTAGTCTTCACGAAAACTGATGAAAAAACTGAAGCGAAAAATTCTAAAAATGTTTCAAATAAACCAGTGATCTTCCGATATGGCTGAAATCAAAAGAATGAATTCCATACCCATGCAAATACCAGCGTCGGTTCCATCTACGCCAACGGTATCAAATCAAATCTTGTTGATCAATAATGCCGAAGGCCAATTGGTCTCTGGCATTCTGATACCGCAAAATCATTTTATGTTGAAAATCAACAAGAATCAGCTGTCACCAGAGTCTGAGCCCGAGTCTGATGTTGTCGAACGCGAGTCTCCGTCAAAATACTTTTCCATGAATTCAAACGAAAAAAAAATGTTTCGCGAAACATTCTACAATACACTTTATGAATTTATGCATCAAATAGTTAAAGGCGGACGCGTCGTTAGCTCTTCAGATCCTATTTGGGACCAGGTCGCACTCAAGTTGGACAATATACTCAAACCAAAAAGTATTTATAACCGTTTCATATTAAACAAGCACGGTTGCCGATCACGGCTAATCGAAGCTTACTTGAAAGAGCCTGGTTGTAGTAATGCCAATATTTCTCTACTGAACGACACAATGAGCTCGGATAAAACTTCCGAAATCATTGAGAAAAGGCCTGGCCACGTCGACAACGAGACGTTTTACAATGCTTTGTACGCTTTTAAAGACAAGGTGATCAAAAACGGGGAAGTCGCTCCGAGTGTGGATTCTGTGTGGTGTAAGATTTCTGCACATTTAAATAACGCTTTGAAGCCGAATAGTATATATTTGAGATTTAAACGTAACACACATGATTGCCAAAAGAAGTTACTCGCTCACTGTAAACTCGATCCATCCACAGCGAAAACTTACGAAGTCTCCACCCGTAAGGTGATTCAAACCGATAAATCCTTTGCCAGGATTAAGAAGAAAAATTTAAAGTTTGAAGATTCTACCAAGTTTTTTAAAGCGTTGTACGCACATCGACACTTGATTATACAACACGGAGCGATAGCAAAACAAAATAGTTTCGTTTGGAACGAAGTGGCAAAGATGTTAGACTACGCTCTAGAACCCGCGGACGTACATTCTAAATTTATCCGCAATCACGATTTGTGTCAGACCAAACTTATCGAAGCGTGCAAAGAAGACCAAGACTTTACCCCGCTGCACTTCCCCAAGTTTAATAAACAAAATTGTGTATCAGACGATACTTTCTTCAATGTGCTGTGTAAATACCGTAATGATATCTTACAAAACGGTAAAGAAATAGCAAAATTTTCTCATCCTGTTTGGACTCAAATTTCTCGGGATCTCAACGACACATTAAAACCTGCCACCGTCTATTTCAGAGTATCGAGAAATTCTCAAATGTGCTTGAACCGACTAATCAAACTGAACGGATCATCAGATTTTTCTTGCAAAGAAGTCGTGGACAAAGACAAGTTCTTTGAAACCATATGTTTGTACAAATATTCAATCATGCACGGTGACAAAATAGCAGACGCGTCCGACTCGGTTTGGAATGAGATTTCACTTCAACTAAATTCTGCTATGAGTCCGGAAGCCATTTTCAATACTGTATCGAAGGACGAACATTTTTGTAAAACAAAAATGATTCACGCCTTAAAAACGGAATGTAGTGTTTTTTCTGGTGAAAACATCGATGACGATCCATCTGAAACGATAAGTGAAGTCGCACCAATTGTTGAATGCAATGTAGATGAGTCTATAGATGATTTTGTAGAAGTGCTCAAAGAGTTTAAAGATTCTATTTTGAAAAGCAACGGTCGATTAGCTATGATGTACGACAATGTCTGGAGGGAAATATCATCACGAATAAAATATTTGAAGCCCGACGAAGTTTACAAACGCGTCATTAATGATTACAAGAACTGTCGCACGTTACTTTTTTCATCGGCGTTTGAAACGGATAAAAGCCTTCAAATAAAATTGTGCGAAGCAATATTTGAATATCGAAAATCCATCATTAACGATAGAGTTATTGCAAATATAAATAATCCCGTTTGGACTAAAATTAGTGATAGAATTAATCGAGTTTTAGATCCGAAGGAGATTTACATAAAATTCATTAAAGACAAACATTCCTGCCGTACTAAGTTGATGCAAGGACTAAAAGAAGAAGACCCTTCTGAATCGTCGAGAAGAACATCTCCTCAAGTAGCTGTCAATAAAGACAGATTTTTAGATGTTTTATTGAGCCATAAAGAATTGTTAATGTTGAACGGGACACATGTTAACGCTGGTGATCCAATATGGCATCTGCTCGCCGAAAAACTTGATTATCAAATAAGTCCGACTACGGTGTACAATTACTTTTCGTCGAATAAATATAACTGTCTAACTAAAGTTAAACTGTCTATCGAAGAGGAAAGAAAAGCTCTTAATGTTAATGACGACAAACAAAAATCAACGAAATTCACTACACAAATAGACCACGACTACACTAAAGGCGACGTTGAAACATATTTTGAGGACTTGGCGTCCATGAGACAAAAAGTCGGGTACGTACAAGAAAGTGACTTTTTCAACGCGTGCATGGCATTTAAAGACGAAATAATAAAAAATGGTAGCATTGTGTCCTGTACTAACGACGTATGGGAAAAGATATCAAAATATCTCAACTATGCGATTAAAGCTAAGACAGCGTATTTGAGGTTCAAACGGAATACTCATAATTGTCAAGCAAAAATGTTTGACTGTATGAATATTTCCAAGCCACGCGACACTTGTACCGAGGAAGACCTAAAAATTGAAAATGAGATGTTTTTTGATGCAATTTCAATTTTTAAACACTCTATTATCAACAATGGTAAATTTGTCGGCGAAACGTCACCAGTTTGGTTAGATGTTTCCAATTTAATGAACAACTTGTTGACGCCCGAAGAAGCGTTTTGGAAGTTTCGTCGGAATGTCGACTCATGTCGTAACAAACTTGCCGAGAAATGTGCCCCTGACTGGGCCGCCGATACGCCTTCAACCAGAAGAAACCGCCTACTGGTAATGGAATCGACAGAGACGCATTGGAACGATACCTTACAGAGCGACGAAGTGGAGAGAGAAGAACATAAGGAATGTGTGAAAGAAGCGATTCGTAGAGACACCGTATTTTATGACGCCGTCTATAAACATAAAGACGAGGTTTTCAAGAACGAATTAATTGCAAACAGCGCTAGTCCCGTGTGGACAGCAGTTGCTAATGAATTAAAGTACGAATGGAACCCTATGGACGCGTACTTAAAGTTTAAAAACAACATGGCCAACTGCAACACAAAATTTGCCGAAGCCGCCCTAAGACATAATCTGAAGAAATCAAAACAAGACGCTATGGATGTTGACGTGAATTCTCGTGACCAACCTATGGACGTTGATCGAGAAGTCACTACAATATCGTTAAACGTAAAAAAAAAATACCAAGAAAATTATGAAAATAATATTACTGTTATTGAAATAGACTCGCCGACTAGTGAATCGGAAACCGAAAACGGTTTGTAACAATAATCAAACTTAAGCAAAACGGAATAATTTCTACTATTAATCATGAAAATTAATACTCTCACAATAATTTTGTATTATTATTATTATTATTTTTTTTTTATATGTATAAATATATTTATTGTATTTTTTTTTTACTTAATTAAGGACTGATTCGTGTTACCTATAGTTTTAATTGTTTTGTTCACTTTCTTCTTCACTATTTTTTTTTTTAATGTTACGCTGTTGGGTTGTGCAATATGTGATTGTTATTTTTATTTAATAACTTTTTTTGCCATATTTCGATTAGTTAAATTATTTGCATAATTTTGAAATTTTTATTTTATTCAAAATAAAGTAGATTTGCCTTAAATTGACATTTATGCCTCACGCTTATAAATATGTAATTAAAATACCTTATGTAGTTTTTACGCGGCCCTAAAAAGCTCAAATTGAGATCAACCGCTACCATATCATAAAAAGGACCAGTCTAGTCTCATTTGGATTCTGAAAAACTTGAACGACACTCGTAATTTAATATACGAGTATTTATTTATTTTTATATTACATAATATCTTTTACATTAAGAAAAATTAACAGCAGTTCAAAAATCTTATTTCTTGTCTGTCAATTTGTACCTATTTATTATGGTGTTGTTCATTACAAGTCATATTTAATTGGAAAAACTTTTAATTGTTTAACAGTATTATTATTATATTATATTATCATAGTATTAAATTAAGTGTGATGTTTGAGACTTGAGTTTGATTTATAAAAATAAAGTAGAATAAATATGTTGATTACCTCTTATAAATAATTCTTAGTTTATATAATTTATATACTATGCTGTACTTCACTGATAATTTAGGATTGTATCTTTATTGAAAAGAAATTTTTGTAGTGCAAAAGAAAGACTTGTTTATTTATCTTTTGGTGTGGCTTGGAAAACTTTTTTTTTTTTTACTTGAAACTTGACTAGTCTATTTAACATTTTAGTGTTTGACATTGTAAAGATTATTTATTTATTTTGTGTACTATATAAAATTGCTTTAAGATAAAATTATAAATCACTATATATTGTATTATATTGAAATTGTACTCTATAATAAAAATATATTTAGGCATCATGATTGAATTTGTTGCTTTTGTCATAGATATTTATTGTAGTATAAGTACTACTATTTTTTTTATGAGTACCTACTTGACTATAAAACAAAAAAACATCTTTGTTATTTAACACATGATTATATGTACAAGCAGTTGTCTTCAAAATTGTGTCATAGGCATTGGCATTGCCAAGTATACAAATATTAATAATTCAGTTATTTTAAAATAATAATTTAAAAAAGACTAAAAACTTGTTTTTAAACAAATGTAAAAAAACACCATTTAAATCTAAAATTAACAAAAACAAACATCTTGACCTCCTGTTTTTTATTATTACTAAAGTTTCAGTAATAGTTATACTTAAATATCAAAAATGTACTATCAATGTTTTTTCAAAAACTCTATAATTTATAGTCAGGTAGGAATTTTAAGGCTCATCTATTTTTTGGTTATTTTTATTTTAGAATTCCAGACGTTAAAAAAACAATTTTACTGTAACTGTATGAGTAATTTGTCAGAATTACTTTATGAATAATTTTTAAAAAAAATGTCAAAATGCCGCATTGCCACTACCAGATTGTGATTTGTAGGTACTAGCCGATAGGTCTTATCCTTATATGGACCATATTATTGTATTGGCCGCGAACAAGCCGAGTTAACAATAGAATACAAATCTAAACACGAGTATACATGAAATAATTATATACAGTGTGCGTGGGCGTTGATTAGTGCGTTGATATATTAATGGACATTAAAATCTACCCATCCTTCATCACAATAGAATGTTTTTTTTGTTTTAACATTCCATTGAAATGTCGAACCATTTAAACGCACAATTCGAATTTCTCCTTGTCCTCTAAATCGTCTCTAAATATGGTATGTTCAATGTATAACACTTTACAATGTACCTACCGATCCTATCCTATCCTATGTGTATATTATTATAGTTTAAGGAACTTAATGTGACTTTATGACGAGGTCACCTTTACATAATATAACATGTATCCGCCAACAAAGCAGTGGTCAAAATAAATTGCAATAAAAACGTTTTACAAGTCGGGATGTCAATATTTATTAAATAGGTATAATGACAGAAGGCAGGAAGGCTGCACAAGAGCCTCGCCTATACAACAAAATTCGGTAAGTTTTACAATGTGTACATACTATCTATGTACATTCATATAATAATATATAAGAAGGATTTTTGTGTAGGCGTGCAAATATCAAATGATCTATAGTGTTTTACCCTTGTGTACATAAAATATTCTATAGGTGCACTAGGAATTAAAAATTAACAACCCGAAGATAACAAAATTATACCATAATTTATAACGAAGGTCCCCACGACACGCGTAGGTGGAAAAAATGTTTTTACCTATGCAATAATATATGCAAAATAGACGTTAAAAACAATGTTAGATATATGTGCACAAGTTTTACCTATCTACTTTAATTCCATGTAAAAAAAAAAAAAATTAAAAAATCAAATTGCCCACACTTGCGCATTATTATAATTATACACCTAGGCATAATGGGTGGGTACCAATTGCCCCATTTCTTTTGTCTTTGCTTTGCCGGTATATATTTTTATTTTGTACATTCAGAATTTCAGTATATTATTGTAAAGTCAAAAAAAAATATAATAATAAAAAAAAATAACCCGTTAGTCGTTTGGTCGGGGAAAAAATATATATTTCAATGCAGCTGTAGTAGTTAACTTACTATTATTTTTATAACTCTTTGTCTCTCCAAGTGTTACATTGTTGAACTTTTAACGCAAAAAACGATAACTTCGCTACCTAGAGTACGTTTACCGTCAATCAAACTAAAGACAGCTTTTATAAATTTGCGTTCCACATCAACCCTTCGAAAATAAATACACCTTTCTTATGCGGTACATAAGTTCTAAGATTAGGACGAATATCCTATACTGAAGTCTGGACAAGCCCTAGAATAAATGCCTTTTTTTATATAAGTTCAAATATATATATAAATATATATATATATAACCGTATAACCATTTCTTCGCTAAAAATCGTCTTAAAACTATTATTTTCAATGTCTGTTTTAAGCAAATACAATTTTTGTTTATAAGTGTTGACACAATAAAGCCTTCTACGCGTTCATGACACTCAAAGTGTACACATTAAAATGCTAATAACTGGTTACCTTGTCGCAATATCAATATTTTTGAGTATCTATAACTGATGTTTGACATTAGCCTAAGTCGAGAACGAGCAAAAATTACTGAATGTGTGTTTTATTTCATTTGTACACAAACGGTAGTGGGCGCTATTTAATTAGTACACAAAACTGTCAACTGATATATAAATTTATATTTATGTAAGTTGGGAATATTTTACGGATATCATTATACCGATGGGTTCCCATGCCTGAGATTTTTTATTTCAAACCGTTAACAAGAATAACAGGTTTTGGGTTAGTGTATAAATTACATTTTTCGAATCACTCAGCCGGCACTATATAATATAGTAGTGATAATATAATTTTATAAATCTCGGTTGGACCGTTGGAATAATCGTACCTCTGGAAATGAGATGACCGTTAAGCTTGTCAAAATGCTGATGATTGCTGAAGTGATTTTCATTTCATCAAATTATTACCCACCCGACGATTGCTTCGCTTAATATGTAATACTTAGGTACTGTTTTTTTAACGCGTGGGAACACAAAACAATAGGGCAAACATTTTTGTTCGTTTGTCGAAATCCGCATCTATACTATCAGAGTGTAGAAAATCGATAATCTTTTAATGATTGTTGTTTTAGTCAATATATATGTATTCGTTTGTTCAATGCAAAACGCTAAAATACCAGTACTTGTGTACTGGATGGTCTAAGCAGATAGGTTTGTACGCCATGAACGTTTACCGTGGCTTTATTTGTAATTTAAAACCTTACAATTTAACGACCATTGATAATCGCGGACAAAATCATTATCATGTCCGCGCTAGATAAATGGGAAAATTGGCCCAAGCTAGTTTGTAAACCGTTAAAATTAAACGAATAGTGTGTGGCGATTTATATAGACAGGCACTATGTGCCGAAAAAAACCTTTAAATAGCTTTCAAACGTGTCGACCGTAACTTTTTTCCAAAATTAATTTGTATTAACTTACAAGCGTCTCAGAGCCGGTTAACCGTTTGGGGGTTGAGCGATTGCTTGACGGGAGACCAGGATGATGATATTTTGATAATTAACACTAAACAATATTCAAACCCTTATTGGAGTGTACATCACAGATCACAATGCGTCCCGGGGTAACAGTATTTTTCAAAAGGGTTAAAAAATGTTTTTTTAAATGTATTTATTTATTTCGGCTAAAAGTAATATGCTATAGGCCACTCGAAAATCACTTCTATATATATATATATATATATATATGTATAAAGATAGAGTATGATAGTTGGCGGTGGCGCTGGTCTAGTTTCAAAAATTACTGGCAACATATTGTGCGTGAAGACATTGAAATTATTTCCATTTTAACGCTTTTATAAATTATTATACTCTACAAAATAGACGCTACCTACTGCAATATAGAGGTATATATTTACTTATCGTCAACCCAATTACGAATTAAGCGCATTGTGTGGCGTTTATATGCTTGTCGGTCGTTGTCAGTGTATTATTATAATAGTATGACTATTATACGCGTGCCGCACATATTATACATGTTTATCCTCATTACAATGTAGTTCAATGCATAAGAAAAATAAAAAAAACAACGTTTTACATTGATCAATTTATTTGTTTGGCTCTAACCATCGTCGGTTACACGGTTGGCGGATTCGTCGTTGAAAATCTATTCCAAATCTAGTTCCTACGTTAAATTGTAAATTATTGTCTAAAAATACATATTTCCAAGACGCTTTTCCGTGTCTTTATACGTACAAATGTCGCAAGTAGTCGGATCTTTTGTTTTAAGATATTAGACCCAAATCGTAATAGCCAACAACAAAACAACCGTGCGCACAATTTATCCACAGAAGTAGGACGATAGCAGTAGTATAGGTAGTTCTTTAGCCTATACCTAGATTAGTATTTAGAATGCAGTCAAGGAGTCCCGGGGGCTAAGACAAAATATGAAATACTCCAATTTGTACGCTTACGTTGTGGTTTTTAACTTTTACACAATGCCATTGTCAGTTGTAATACTGTACCTATAGTGTACGAACAATAATGTTGTAAACTGCAGTCCGCGAGTGTATTACTAATAAAAAAATCAGTTGTTGGTCAGATACCAAAGCAAAAGTCTGTAGACCAGACTGTGTACTACGGGTGGACCGATCAAATTCCTATTATAGTAAATGATTACATACGGTCAAAAAGTATACAAATCTGAAACAACAGTTTGTATATTGAAAACAATTTGTGTGTGTTTTTAAACTATTAAAATATAAACTCAATAACTTGGCATTTTGAACATATCAAATTTTTAATTTTTTTTTTATTAATTATATTTATTCTCTGTAACAGTTGCGTTTTAATATGTATTGTATCGGTGGCACACCAACACAGAAGTTTGTAAATCCCCCAGGGAGTTAACTTAGTCGGGGCACATTATCTATAATTAACATTTTCAAAGTGTAAGTTTTTCTAAAACAGGTCGAAAACCAGTTTTGAGTAGTAAATAATTTTTGTAAAATCGTATAGACCAAACGGAGGGGCTGATCTCTTTTGGCCGGCAATCAACTGATTTAAAAACAATTCTTATATCACTGTAAGTATAATAAATTATTATCTTCGGTGGCCGTTTTCAAATTTCAAAAGATATTGCGTTTTGTAACAAATTTAAAATTGTTTACAGTTAAAAAATAATAAGTAAGTCAAACCAAGTGATAACGTGAATTATTAGTTAATAGAAAAATTGAAACAATAATACAAATACGTAAAATAAATGGGTTTTACAAAACTAGAGCATTTCGTGCATGTATGCACGACCTTTCGATTTGAATATTTCCATCGTGAATGGTTTACACTTAGACCTCCACCGCCCGAATACAAATGCTGACTTTGTGGCTTCCCTGTAGAAGCCAGTTCTGATCATTAGACCCTCTTTGCGGGGGTCCACGCACGAGCCCGGAAATTATACATGGAATTTCGAGTGAAACAGAAAAACGTGACAAGTCCAAAAGTTTGTCGTCACGGTCGAGTGGTCTGCGGCGAGGACATGCAATGATATTTATAATATTATACTTACATATATTATTGTTATATATATATATATATATATATATGTATGTATGTATGTATAGATATTATGACAAGCAACCGGTTGTTCTCGGGCGTCGTGCAGCGGTGGGGTTTTGGTCGACGGATGGCGCACTAAAAACCAAGGTAGGGGTCACGATCGCGTTCGCCGGTCTCGACGGCGGCTACCATGTACAGTGTAGTATATAGCAGCGAACCATCCGAAGTCCAAGCCGGTCGTTGACTTTGCCGCGCGCTCTTCTGCCGAACGACGACCACGACCGCAGCCGCAGCCACAGCCGCCGCCGTTTCTTATCGTCGTCCACTACACACACACACACACACAGTCAGCCCCGTCAGCCGTTTACGGCCGCCCGCAACTGCACTGTAAGCCCTCTGTTCGGCGGATACCTCCTTTTAACCCCAGTGCGTGCCCACGGCCATGACCGCTTGCCGTCGTCGCTCGTCCGAGTGTACCACCGCGTAATCACCACGTGTGCACCAGTTGGCCGCGTCGATCGGCCGTGCAACGCGCTCAACGCCGCCTCAGATCCCGCCGCCGCCGTCACCATGAGCGTTGCCGCCAAAGGGACTGCCGGCCGCCACCGTTCCGGCCAGTTCTTGTACAAGGTAGGTCGTAACGTCCGCATAACAGTGTTATTGGCGCGTTGCTCGAACTTTGTCTCTTACGTTGATACTTGTAACAAATCGGTTGTGTAATTAGGTCTGTTGAGTACGTATGACTTTATAGTAGACCAAGTGTCATTTTCGACTTCCACTACAATAGTTTCATTAACAAACAATGGCCAACTCGCCCAGTCGGTTCCAACAGTTGTATAATAAAATATTTCAACTTTTAAGATAATGTAAGTCAGCTTCAAAACCTCCACAATCCCTTCCTGTTTAAATATTTCATCTTATGACATTAATACGTTGTACTATAAGTACTTTACAAGTGTATTTGAAAAAGACGATTTACGACTGTTCTTTTATAGCTTTTAGTTTTAGCTGCTTTTATTTTACCAATCCTGATAATTTTTTAAGTTACATAAAGTTTAGAAGTTTGGCCACAACTGAAAATTTCAGTTTTGAGTTGACTTTTATGCTTACATAATGTAAAAATACACTCAGAATAAAAAAGAATAACCTGTGGTTAAAATTTATTCAAATTCTGTACCTCGAATTAAAATAAAACAATTTTAATTAGCAAAATTGTTGACAAAAAGTTTGTTTTAGATCAAAATCAACGTATAAGGCCTACAAACTAGCAATCATCATTTTCTATGTATTCTGATTCGTAAAAATATAGATTGGCTTTTCCTGTATCTTTTTAATAGGTACGTACATAAAAAAATACGTTGTAAACTCTTAAGACAATCGGTACAATCCTTGGATCTTCGCTTGTATAAAAGTTTTATATTGCATATGTGTCAAACATATTTGTAAACGAGTTTATGATGATATCCACAAACTAAACACATGGCGATTGAAATTTGTCGGACCATGCATGGTCTTTGATGAGTGTAATAGTTGTGGATATTCATAAGGTTTGGAATACATTTGTTTAGCTATACCTACCCAGCATGGGCGTTCCGGTTAAGACGAACAAGAAAATATTAAATTTTCACTATAACACACGTCACACTTTTGAATTTGATCATGATACATTAAAACGAATACAATAGCGCTGACGAACAGTAGAGTTGAAATTTTTATATTAACGCGGTATACTGAATTCGTTCTGAAGAATCACATTATATCCTCAAGACCTACAAGATATATTTTATGCGATCACGCATCATTATTGAACGTGGATTACGGTAAGATATTTTTTAAGGCATTACGGCGTTTATCCTAACTGCAACCGTCGTTTTCAATTTTTTTTTTTAAGTAATAACGATCCATGTGCTAGGCCTAGTCGAGCCTTTTGAAATCGTCCGAATCGGCTAAAATCATATTCAATTCTAGTTAGATTTCACATAATTTATGTGCTATACAAGATTCTCGGCAGTCATTTTGTTTAAACTTTCTATATTATGCTCTGGAATTACACAGTTCTCGAATAAGAAAACGCGTCGGGATAAACGGAATTAAGAAAACAACAGTGTTTTGTCTGGCTTGGGCATATCACAATTATACCTTACAATAGCTCGTATTGATTTGTATTGCATTTAGCGTGTCGCCGAGCAAACACACACATTCCGATACGTCAATAGTGCGGGGCAGTAATCGAAATTCCATGTAACTCATACACGGGGCGGGACAGTCAATGCGAGGGGTTGTGGAACGAGTTGTGTTCTTTCTTTTGTAATCCTGATTAAAGACGAACGAGGTACTAATTGGTCGTTGGTCACGCACGCATGACTGCAGAGAACTGCGGATAGATAAAGAAAAAAAAAAGCAGAATGGAAAAAACACAGAGTTATCTGCTAACTAAATTATTTAGCATCGTTCAGCTAGAAAAACGGCTGGGAAACAAAAACACTACATAAGTTCAATGACTGCAATACGAATGACCGCAGGAATCCGCACAGACCGCAATAGTACTTATATACTATGTATAAACGCGCGTCACGCGTGACTCGAGATCAGCCAATGCTCATTGCCTAAGAAGTCTCATTCATAACGATCGCTTTTAACGGATATTGAAGGGCAAATATCGTCCTTACTAATTACACGGTGTACCGGTTAGTTACCACAAGATATGATGACAGTAGGATATATAATACCTACTATGTATTATGCTTGTTGAAAATCACCTAAACGACTACACACCAAACGTCGGATGCAGGAAAAGCTCAACGTCATAGGGCCGTATACTTGATATCCATCCAGTTATTTTCTATATATTATAGTTTTAATTGGCTGTCCAGTTTGAGCGGTGTGAATGTAAGGTGTTAACCGTCGACTGTCGCTATAGCAGCTAATCGACGACTAGATTCACTCGGCTCTTTCTAAAAAAAAACATTTGGTTCTCAAATATGTTAATGACGAGGCGATGATTTTCCAGTGTGTAAATAAAATGTGTTCGGTCTACAGATTAAACAAAACATCTCGACGGTAAAGTACACATATCTGCGGGTAGCGTTTTCCTTGTGTAGCGCGGCCCGGAGTAGTACCGACTTTAAGACAGTCTATTATCTAAACGTACATAATAGGCGCTTTGAACGCCTCTTGATCGAATGATTAGCGGATTGTATCATAAAAGAACGGGCAGAGTGAAATCGGCGGTGTAATTAATACGTAGACAAAAGGATAATAATGGATTTAAAACCGACGGGCGGTCTGAACCCATAACATAAGCACAGCGTTACATTAGGTTAGTGTGCCTCGGCGAAATGGGTAAGTATTTCTACGGCACCGCGACCGTCTATAACAGTGACGACGTCATGACTTTGGCCCAACATAAAAACAACTTTGTTGTTGTTGGAAGTTCTTAAGTCGCTGTTTAGAGGAAACAACGCATAGCGATTTTCACCGAACTTTCGGACAATGTTGCATTGTTACAATACAAACAATTAGCCGGATGAAGTTATTTAATTAATTTCAATGCCGTGAAATTACACCATACATGACATAAAGTGCACATTACCATGATAATACCCGAATGAGAACGGCAATGATATTCAAATTAGTTTGGTCCGAAATTATATCATCTTCTAGACGCTTTGTCGGCGGCTGTTGTTTGTGTGTGGGACGCCTGTGTTTAAAAATTACATATGTCTTTGAATGTTGCTGGTCCATTGAAGGTTGGCGGAATGCAAAAGTATAATACGACGAATTCGTACACATTACAGCTTAAGCGGGTTAAAGTGCGGAAGTATATTCAAGGAACAATAATTCATACGAATTAACGATTTTTTGGTAAAAAAATTGATTGCAATTTTATTTGTATAAACTTCCGCTTGGTGGTTGACAATATTGCTCGTAATAAGCATAGTGGCATAACCGGTAATCAGTATGCGATTTTTTTTAAAAATCAGTAAAACATTTAAGATATATCCGTCGTCTAATCGAGATTCAGCATGATTTTTTGCTATGAACAAGCGTTTACATTATTTTTTTACAGCCATCATCGGAGGCTATTGCCGCGATAGCCGGGCAACGACCGTTATGTTTTACACGACGATAGAGTTTTATGTATTATATATGTATTGTATATTAATACACATATATACACCTATACATCTTTCTTACAGTCGTACTATATCTTTCCTAGTCTGGTCGCTAGACTTCTTTTTATTTTTTTCAAGAACCGTTGTCCGTCATGATTTGTAACAATACCATTTTGTCGTACAACGAATGAAATGCTCAATAGCCAATACGAATTTCGTATTGTGATAAATGATAATGTATAACATTGCATTTATGTTTGTCCCACTCATTTCGTCGCCATAATCAAAGACGACCGAGCATCGCGTACTTGCGTGTCCCATTATAAAATCACAATCTACACACAGCTATACAAATACCCATCTCACAGGTTTTTAAGTGCAGTCACCGTGTGCTGGCAACTTCGCCGAAAAAAAAAATTTAAATCATTGAACCCGATGACATTTTTTATGCTGGTCAAGCCTTAAGCGTAAACCATACATTACACGTTGGTCCGTATAAATTATATATTTATATACGGAGATGACCGTTGATACGACACAAAAAAAAATACTATGTTTTTGCGTCATATTTCAACAAAAAAATTTGAATTAGAATATACCTTAATTTTTTCCGAGTCTAGTTATTTTTTTGCGTCGTCTCAAAAGTTGCAAAACAAAAATTTAGAAAGCATCTTCTAATTTTATTTAGTATTGAAAAAAAACAACAAATTCTACTTTATATCTAAGGCCATTTTTGAAAACTAACAAAAAAACTGCATTTGAAATTTTGTAAGCAATTATTTTAATAAAAAGAATACTAAAAATACAACAAATACGTGTTTTTACAACTTTTGATGCGGCTTAAAAAAATAACTAGACGTGCTAGAAAAAAACTGAGGTCAGATTCGGATTTAGCGGAACAATTTTTTTTGAAAAAACAAATTAATATTGGTTCTTGTTTCAAAATAATTTTTTGCTTAGTGTTATCTGTTGTGCTGTAAAGTGTAACTTGTCTGTTGAATAGGGTTTTCAATGACAGCACGCATACATAATTTTTATAATTTATCAATCCATTGACAACATAATAATATCAATCAGAACATCAGGACTTGGTCTTGAACTGTGAAATAAATATTATTTGAATAAGTACAAATATTGTTATCCAAAAGCGAAGGTCTGAGGCTTGGTGCCTCAGACCTTGTGTCTTAACTATTACAGACGTATAACAACAATGTACGTATGGGTAATTCTTCTTATTTGGAGTAATTATACATACTATTATAATTTTAGCGATACAATCGAAGGGCTTGGGCACCAAGTTTTGGCAATGCCTGAACACACAAAATAAATAATGCCGGCGGGCACCACCTACTGACCTAACAACTTCCTTGTAGTGATGACCCTGATTTTTTGTTGATTTGTCTGTCACTTTCAATGAGTACATCAATTACATACTCGATTTCTTAATGATCAAATTTCAATGAATCCTCGTTGTACCTAATTTATGTATTTTCTTGTTAAATATGTTTAGAGCCAATGAAAGTTGGTAGTATATATTTTAATGGTAGAGGTAGATTGGGAAAGAAGTGTGTGAATGTCGTAAATAAAGACATGAAGGCTTATAAAAATATGAGGAGACATAGACAATTTTACTAGCAGACCCCAGTTATAACTTATAATAATAGGTATTTCCTTGTACATATTATTACAAGGTTAAGGCCATAAAAAGCAGAAGAGCCAAGAGCCTGGAACTCAGAGACGTTCGGCTAGGAAACTTAAATAGTAAAACACGCCTGCTTGTCGTTTTATCGTTTAACAAGTATAAAATTATTGAAACAAATGTATTTTTTTTATGTTTGAAGGGAAAAATATTATGTTTTTTCCTTGAAATAAAAAATCACATTCAGCAAGAAACGCATCCGGAGATACGATCTGGCGAATAACGGGTAACGGTATCGCGGTAGTTCACGACAATAATACAACAAGAATAATAACAATATATTATACGATATGAGAGTCATCGTGACTTTGTCCCTGTCAGAATACATAATAATATACATAATTTTGTTTTTTTCTAGAACGCGCTTTATCGTGTGAAAAAAAACCGCACACAGCGACGGACAGTTGGAAAAATGACCCCACCGTTTTGCCGGCTCGTTAAGTCCCGTTTATATTTTCATTTCTTTAACTTTATTTTCTTCAAAACACCCAGCACGTTTCCTATAGGGAAACAAACGATATTACGTCAATAAGACCTAAACGATGTGGGTCAATGGGTCTCGACAGTTTGCAGTGGTGAATCACCGTCCAAGTATCCGCCGGCTTTATAGACATAAATATAATATACACTTACTACGTTATATTGTAATATTTATATCTGGTCGCGCGCGGTGTGAATGTCGATTGGATGTTATATGTGGGTTAGGTCCTTTTCCCTCGCATATGAATAGGTACAACACCACCTCTTTTCCAGTGTTAGTTGTTACTCGTACATGCATAAGTATATGTATAATAATAATAATGATCTCTGTAAAGAAAACACTGTTTTTTATAATAATATTTTAGCAGCAGCAGCGGCCGCTATTGCTGCGATACCGTTACCCGCGGCGGCCTGAACGGGTAACCGTAGTGGCGGACCGCGGTCAAGGTTATCGTCGGGTTACGGTAACCTACACGATCGGGGCCAAACCCACCGCCATCGGTGACCGACACGACGTATTGGTAATTAACTAATTTGTTATCAACCAATACCTAGGTAAATATTTTATGCGGGGAAAACCGAAAATCGTTACCCGATGTTATAATAGGTTTTTTTATGTAAACGACTGCTGCGTTTTTTATTATTTTTTAAACGTCGTGTCAAGCCCGGTCAGTGGTCACAATGATGTGAAAATACTTACAAGCGCGAGCCGTCCGAAACGGATTCGCGGGTAACAGTTATGGGTAATAATATACTTACATTTGTATGCAAATGAAAAAGTCATCGAGAACCGATATAATGGGTAACAACCCGTTATGTCGGACTGTTATTTTATTTTATTAGGTTTTTTTTAAATTTGTTTGCCATCTACCGAGCCCAATACTATTGTAAACTCATAAAAATAAGGCATTGGGTAGAATACACCGTACGAGAACTTTTCTCCGGTCCAATATAATATATCGCGTATTATAATGGCCTAAGCAAATTATTATTATATCCTATGCGCGTATAGAGACGGGTAGGTATAATGTTGTGATGCCGCCTCCTGTTTTCTAATTACACGATTAATTATTATCGGCAACCCGAAAACAGTAGGTCAGTAGCCGTACGTGTGTGTCGTGCCTGTACATGATAATTTTATAGAAACGACGACGACGACGACGACATAGGCCGAAGACGTTTTCCCTATTTGACAGACGTGCCAAATCGCCGAACAGATGCAGCGAATTTTCCTAGACGAAAAGTGAGTGCGTGGAAAACTCGACTAGACAAGTTCAAGACAATAGTCGTTGTAATCGTCGATACGCTTCCAGGTTATATGCCTTATATGCTTAAACAGGCGTTGTGGATATCTGCTGACAACACTATAAACCACCTCCAGACATTATTCATAATGTTCTAGCCAGGTTTTTCACCGGTGCGGAACCGAAAACGTGTCGGTTTGACTATGATCCGTCCGTATTGCCATCTGTCGTTGCGATCACTTTTTCATAATGGAAACCGATTTTTTGCCATCAATACCAATGGTTCAGAAGCTATTGGTTTGTGTATAATATACTGTACGCTAGAAGAGCATCTACCAATGTATTGCATTATTATTTATTGTATAAGAAGTATTCGACGGTCAACGATTGAAAAACCCGTTATTCTTCACTGCGAAAAACTCGTTTAAAAGTATACGGATAAGTCGACTTAGACATGCTTTATTCTTAAAGGATGTATAGCTTTTTAGTAAGGTACATGAAATAATATGATAGATATTACAAACAAATTAAAAAATGGCATTAGTACCTACTGAAAATCACACCAGTATATATTATAAATTTCGCGAAATACTGGTGTTAATATAATTTACAATGTTGTATAATTAAAAGACAACAGGGAGATTAAAGTCAATTAATACATCATTACTAAGGGTTCAGAAATATTATTTAATAAATAGGTTCAAAGAACGAAAATTGCATTTTAATAGTGTGTTGTCTTTACTATTATATCTGAATTTTTGCTAATATCCAAACATTTTAATAATATTAATGGGCGTTGCAGTTATATTAATGTACATATATCTACAACTCTTCAAAATACATAGTTTGTAACTAAAATATACTTATACATCACCCTAAAGTTATTAGGTATTTTGTTTGGAGTACTGTAAAGTTTCTCACTTAGTTTGTCAATTTGTCACAATAATTTAACAGTTTACATGGGAAGATAATTTGTAAAAAAAAACAAAATACACCTAAACAATTCCTATTAAATGGAATATAAAATCTAATGTTTATAAAGACAAAAAAAACGACTCGGTTATAAATGTACAGTTGGGAATACAGTAATGGTAATTTAAAAATTCCGTTAAAATATTTGAATATTTCAATTGTCGAGACAAATTGAAATACTGCCGTTAGTCAACCTTGACCGAACTATCGTCGTTTTACCACTGCCAATATGGTTAGGTCAAGTTTGACTTTGTTGCGAGCAATTTCACATTTAACTTTGTCCTACACAATGAAATTAAACATTTTCACATCGTTTATGTTAATATTATTATTGTGTCTTTTGTTTCTCTGGATCGTTAAAATTCCTTAGCATAAATTCAGAACAATCACGTTATACCGTAATTGGCACTATCGTTTTACAAATCTGATGATGATAATAATAATATAGAAAAAACCCTCTATTATTTTTGGATGGCTCATTTTTTTTACAACATTCTTTGTAGGAAATGTAATGAAATTATATTACAAAACTGTTTTTTTATTCACTCAATGACTGCAATAGTAGAATACAGCATGTAGTCAAAGCGGCTGTCGTTGAACCTCATTAGGACAAAATGTATTTTCGATTTTTTTACTTTGTTGATTTTTAAAAAATCAAGTAAGTATGGTAATTGAAATGAAGAAGAATTTGAAACTTTAAACGCTTGTTGTGAATAGAAAAAAAAACATAATGCTACACACTAACAGACAACAGTGAGGAGAAGGATATTTGTCTGAGCTTTAGTATAAGATTAGTACAGGTCGGATTTCATACACATGCGGTATAATTTTATTTTTTGTGGTGATTTAAAATCAAATTACAATAATATATAATGCGATAAAATGTATAACTGTTTTTTGTTTTTTTATGTTTCTAGCTATTGCGGATGACCATTTACTTGTTGGCCCTGTGCGAATGCACTAGAACCGAACAGTGCGGCGGCAACGGCGAGTCGCTGAAATATTTGTGGGGTGACGCTCTCGCCGACCGGTTGGACTGTATCGGTCCCAACGGTAAACCTTATCCAGAGTGAGTGTACATGAATATTTCAACTCGTGCATGATGCATTTATCATGTTAATTTCAAAAAAATAAAAACTATTCAGTGCCGTGAATGCGCATTGCTAACTGTGTAACTTCAAAGAGTATCAGATTTGTTTGTTTTTTAGATCAATTGTATCTGGTACATTTAGACGAACCAACAGTTGGGGTTCATCCCGGACGGGAAGGGACGCTTTTCATTCGAGCCCAAAACCTAGCCCGGAAACGGTACGAGAAACGTTGTTGAAAAATTACAAGTTCAACAACCACCAAGAAGAACTAACCATCAGTAGAACAGGTAAAATGCAAGATTTTAACGGCTGGCCTTTAGTATAGTATTTTGTTCATAATTCCTAACGTCCCGGTTAGATACTGTTTAGCGGTTAAAAATGTACTTAGCATGAGCATATTAATATTTATAATCAATGGTAAAAGTTTCTCGACTGATAAAAACGTTTAAAACTTTTTGTTTTTTACTGCCAATTAAAAAATTGTATAGCTCATATTGTATTTTGTTGTACCGCATTCAATTTATATATACTTACCCTACGACCTACCTAATATTACTTAACAATCATATACGTTTGTATTCTCTGTGGCACGTACTTAGTTTATTTTGTAGCATCAAAATACACATCTTATATTTTACTCTTCTTAAATAAAGTGTGTAATTAATTCAAAGAATGAATAATAGATTGACCATTTCCATTCGAAATAACTCATTCTAATGAATTAAATCAAATTATGTATAATTGATGAGAGTCGGATGGTAAAAAAAACAAGTAACTAATGTACGGTTATTTAGTGCAGTTAAACGAATTTTTTATAACGTTAACAACACTTCAACTGGGTAATTGATACTTGTTAAGTTTTTTTTACTGTTCTATTGTTCCATTATTCAATGATATAAGACTTATACTATTAAAAATAATAATGAACCGATATTTGATTTTCTCGAGAGAAAAATATCGGTCAACATAATCATATGATACACATTTAATAAAATAAAGGTGTTTTCTTACTGTGAAATATAGGTGAACTTTTTTTTTACCGTGACCAATTTATCCAATTTACTATTTAGTAGATACTTTGTAGTTCCTATCAATAACAAACCGCCAAAAAAGATTCAAGAATATTGTTATTATTATTCAATTGATCCAATTGTTATAACAAGAACGTTCGAAGTTAAATATTAAAAAAACATCATATATATATTAGACCAATCTTGACTTTACATTTTTTTTATGTATTTTTTTTATCTTGCCATTGCGTAGCTGTCGAACGGCGTTTAAGAAAACTAAAATATTTAGCTATAATCTTGTTTATGTTCTTATATTGGGACGTGTATATATAGCGCAGTTCTTTTAAAGTAGAAAATTACTGTTCTGATTTTCCAGTATGAACCTATAAATATGACGTTAAGTGTTAACAGATATTCTCGAACCAATTCACAATTGATCCAATTGTTATAAAAAAAAATCGAGCGACAAAAAAGATACTTTCAATCAAAAATAACTTTTTTTTTAGTTTTCTCATATTATATTTATTTTTTTACAAACCATTTGATATTATATACATAGATTGCCTACACTATACGAGTATAGGAGGTTTTTTTAAAGTTAAAACATACTACGAGGGCGAAAATCACTAGCTGCTAAGTCAGGGCTGTAAGGCGAATGGTTCAGAACGTCCCACCCATATAAGTTAAGAAGTTCAATTGCAGACAGCAGTTGACGTTGGGTAGTTGAAATTGTAAGTCTATTCACTGACAATATTGTTATGTTGTTTTAGCTCGAGATTACGGATCGACGGTTGTCGGCCGGGACCGCGACCTTTGCCAATCGCCCAACCGCCTTTGTCGCACCCGGTACAACACGACCGCACCCATGTACGGGGTGTCGCTGACGTCCGGCCAGCCCGTGACCATCGTGCAGAAGTTCCCAGACCTGTTACAGCAAGTCGTCTACGAAGTTTGCGAGTGAGTGTGTCAAACACAATCTTCTTCTTCTTTATCTTCGCCTTATACTCCCAACTCCATGGGTTCGGCCCCCTAGTCCTACACATCCATGGAGCTCAATTTTTTACAACTCGTTCAATCATCCCAACTATCCTCATGTCACTCTCTATCCATCTTTTCTTCGGTCTTCCTCTTCCCCTTTTTCCCTCTACTTTCATCTTCACAACACCTCTTTCTGCCTCGTCTCTTCTCATAACATGACTGGAACCATCTAAACCTATTCTCTCTCTCGTTTTCCCCACAAGGTACTCCACTCGTCCGTCTCAGCATTCTCATCTCCGCTGCACTCGTTATCTGTTCAGTTTTCTTGTGTACTGCCCAACATTCCGACCCATATAACATTGCTGGCCTATAAAATTTACCTTTATAGGCATCCTTCTATCGCACAAAACTTATATAATTGTGTGACTTCTAGATCGAACGAATGCGATGTGGTCCGAGGGGAATGCACTCAGACTTACGTGCCGTACTTGTTCCTGGTGATACCTCTTGGGCCGGTCACGTTGACCGGTCAGGACTACGTGTTGGTGGAGAGCGGTTGTGTGTGCAAACCCAAGGTCTCCCGGGCCGCCTCTCACGAGTTGGTCGCCACAATCCCTGCTATGCCTCGCCCGTAAGCACCGTTGGTCGCAGCTCGACAACAAGTTGTGTATAATATTGACCTCTGTACAAAATCATTTTTTACCAAATACAAAATAAAAACATTACAAGTACATACAAACAGGTCCGGGTAATAATGATCGTTTTCCATGACAGCAACGGGGAAAAATTATTTGTATACAAAAAATAAATAAAATGAATATTAAAAAAAAACCCTTTCAAATGTAACTATAGTAGTTCTAAACAATATTATTCGTCTGTGCGATAGATAATTTTATTTGGCTAATTATTACAACGAAAAATAAACACTGTTCGTGTGCATAATTTAATTTTTATATAATATATAAAACCAAAGCGTAGGTAAAATAATTTAAGACTAGGCATCCGACGCTATAACGTGTTTTTGAAATTGTTTTCCAAGCTCACAAATAAAAATTTACAAATAATTATGGTTGGAAAATCGTTTTAAAAAAGGTAACAATTAAAAATAAAAAATTGTTTATTATACAATCCCGTCTTATGCGGTGTATTTATTAACATGTTAAAATTAAGGATTTACTCGTCAAAAAGGACTTCTTTATTATTATATAATTACAAATATAAATTATTATAAATCTAACAACGAATGTAAATGCTCAAGTTAGGATAAAACCTAAAACCTATCTTGTGCGTATTATTTAAATAGACGCTTTATAATTAATGTGTACATTTAGTTTTTAATTAAATATGGTAAATAACAATGTACAGTAGGTGATTTATTTGTAATTTATTATACTCATTAAATAGCTTTAATGTCAGATTTAATGTAAGTTATCGTAGAGTAATAGATAACTATATTGTCTTGTATGTAATTTGTAAGTTCAATAAAATAATATAACTCTTAACGAAAATCACTATTTTTGAAACTCTTGTTTGAATAGTTCAGGAAGATTAAACTAAGATTGTGGTTTATAAATAAATCCACATAATATTTTACCTTGCATGAACTACATTTTCTGTCGAATTCATTTTTGCAAAAAAAAAAAATATTTAAATAATGAGATTTTTTTCAGCAATTATTTTTGTAATACTTCAAGACAGGTAGCCGAAACGAGTGAATAACGCTATTGTTGAATTATATTGACACTGTGTGTTAAAACTCAATAAATAATCTACATAGAAGAAAAAGGAAAAGCATTGTATTTTTTTTTTATACATTAACACCTAAGTGATAATGCGTACAAGAACATTAAACGATTTTTTGAGAATACAAAGATAGAACCACTATCCACAGAGGAGTAGATGATAAAATAATCACGGAAGGGGAAAAAAGTTAAAAGTATGGAAACAATATGTTATGTGGTTTAACAGATTTTACTATTCGAAAAGAATAATTAAATACAAGTGAGTTTTCACACAATTTAATAATGAATAACAATTTACTATTTAAAAAAAATTATTATTAAGATTGATAATCAGTTACCTTATTTTAAAATAACTACAGGTCGAGTCTATACAACTAAAATACAAACGATTAAATTAGATGGCACAATTTACGATATGAGTCGGCATCTTATAATTAAATAGGTACCTAATAGTTAACACTAATATGTTGGTTAGACGTTTAACTATCCTAATCGATAAAAAAGTTTTATTGCAGTCTGATGATTGTGCTCCTGTGTTACTATAACTATAATTATAATATATATAAACTATATATGTTACCTATGGGCTTTTTTTTTTTTTTGAGTACTACCAAAAAAACTGTATTGTTATTTTGTTACACGGACGATCACAGCGATTATTTATTTTAATATTTTAATCGTTTGTCTACATTATTAGTTATTGTTCTACTTATTCTAGTGAAACTTCGTTTATTACCTATACCTACACGCTTCGTGAAACTATTTAGGACGATGGACATATAGATACCTAGTATAAGTAATTAGTATGCATAAAAAATATATTGTATATTTGTATACCTATAGCATGTGCTACACTAGAACAAAACATTTTCGATGCGAATCAATAGATAGGGAAAATTTGAATAACGTTGTAACAATAACGTTAATCAATTAATTAGTTAATAAAAAATGACTATAGTTTCTCTGGGTTAAAAAACATTATAATTTTTTTAATGGGACACAGTAGACTTATTTTAAGATCCACCATCATATAAAACTAATGAATCAGATCTAAGTACACGTGTTAAGATTGAAAAACTACGAAATCGTAACACTATTCCTCAGTGCATGATTTGTCAAGCTTACTTTCATACAAACAATTTTTGTTCTCATCAACCACGTGTTGCGTGAAATGTGAGGACAACCATTCTTCAATAGAATGTCAAAAATCTCGAGACATACCAGCCAAATGTACCCTCTGCAACGAAGAAAAATGTGTAACTATAGGAAAATCGAAAACCAATAAAGACCATAATCGGAATAAACCCAAAACAAACAGTGAACTTGCTACTCAATTCCCCCACTATCAATCCATTGATTTTCCTTCTATATAACTTCCACTCTTGACTCTGCAGTTATTAAAATATGCCAGCCTAGCAAATCATAAACCACTCGTTATCCAAGAAAAATCTTTTTTTTTTTCTTTATATCATAATATTATTATACGTATATTTTTCTTTTATTATTAATAATAGCTGTTATACATTTTTATTCAGTTAAATTATTGTATTTTCTCATTTTGTTTTATTAAGAACATCAATTGTAATAATATTTATAATTGTCGAGCTGTAATACCTATTGGTGAAAGCTAATAAAAAAAAAAAATTGATTTACCATAAATTAGCAATAAATGTCATTCCATTTAAAACGTTCAACTTAAATGTGAATACTAGTAAAACTCACCTCGTCAGACAGTACCTATGCAAAATATTACATCAATTAGTTATAAAACTTTTAAATTTAGTAATTAGTATTACCTCCTCTAGGTGTTATGTCGTGTAACGTCTTTTAGATTATTATGTAGGTATCTTATTATATAAAATATTATTATGACACAAATTACCACAAATCCAATCAAAAACTTTGATTTTATATGTAGGTAAGATGTGTAACAATAAATATCTAATATATTTTAATAACTGCATTCGTTTTATTTTATTTAGTACCATAACTATTGTTTCCCATAATGTCCTTAATAAAATTAAAATACAAATTGACAATTAGAGTAAAATTATATGTATTCTATAATTTATAATATAGAGTAAATTTATTACAAGCATGATAAATGATTACAAATTACGATTATAGTTTTGTTACAAATACATAGAACTCATTTTAGGAATACACAAAGATGGTAAATGATAATTAAAATAGATTTATATTGTGTACTTTCTTGAAAGTAAAATACATTTATTACAATTTTTTTTTTTTATAAAATTTAGCATTTAATAATAAAAATATATCTTTAAACAATTAATAACAACTTCTTATAATATTTAATAGTTTGTTTTATATTTTTTAATTTCTATCATGATTACATGAATGTTAGGTAATTGCGCTTTATTAGGAGGTAGTAGGGCTTTTTGAAATCGATGATAGTATTCAATAAACTGTGAAAAGGCCAGTTGCAATAGAGATGCACCCGTTGTTAAATTTGGAAACGATGGAAGTATCTCCTTATTGATCTCTTCTAGAGACATTTTCCAGGTAGACTCCAATGTCTTAGCCAATCCCAACTGTCTGGAGTCTGAATCTGTATCTCGGCCATTTTCAGAATCTGTAACAAATTCCATCATTCCTCCAAAATACACATGCAGTACTTCATCCACATAGTCTTTACTTCTGGCTGATAATTCTTCTTTGAATCTTTCCACTTCAAAAGTGTTTTCTCTAATCCGTTCCATCAAGATACGCAACACCAAGTCGTAGTTATTGATTAAAAATATCAAACGGTCTTTGCGCGTGGCAAACATAGAAGCGAGACGCAAAACAAATCCTAAAACTTCTTCGGTTAAACTGCCAATGAGTATCGGTTCACATTTATTGTTTTCACTGAACGAAACTATAGCCGATACAAGTTCAGCGTAACGTCTCATGATGAAATGTGGTTTTTTCTCTTTGTTAAATTTAGATATATCATAGTCCTTAACACTTCGGATGTGACGTTTTAATATGAATCTGAAACGAGTTCCAATCATTGCTAGCATAGTGTCCCAATACTGAACAAGAACGGGCACTAATCGCTTCTGACAAAGAGCCTGATAACGCATACTTAACTGGCCGCACAAAAACAATGCTAAAGCATCATAACAATTTTCTACAAAATTTTCCAAATCTTTTATGAGCAATCCAAGAGTTTTTCCCATTATTTGTGAAAAATATCCTTGAGCTGTAGGTTGATCAACTTTGAAAAATTCGCAATCAAATTTATATTCACGACAAGCATTATCTACAAGAGCATACTGAACTGAGCGAAACACCGTTTCAAACGATAAATTTGTAAGGTGGTTTTGGTGTGGAATAATAATTGAAGAATCAATTTCGTTTAAGACATTAGCTCTATTGCCGATTGTAAATACTGTATTTTTTTTCATCGACTTTTGAAATATTGACCGAGACGTTGAATCCTCGACAGCTAATAAATCATCTTTTGTAGCAGCTTCTTCGATTTGAAATTTCTGCAAGTAGCTTAGATAGGATTTAAAATAAGTATAATATACTTTACTTACAGCATCTACGTAATTGTTAAATATTTCATGAGCTATTGTGGAATTATGATTAAGCAAAAATTCATACAAAAATTTATACTCAAATAAGGTATTTTGAGGTATATGATAATTAGTTGTAGGTTTTTTGAACTTATTTATTTGTTCAAGAATGAAATGGTGTATTTTAGTGATGGCTGTAATTTTCAAGCTGTCGATAACATCTTTTACATCGTTTTGTGATTTTACATCTTTAAAGTTTTGCTCATCGACAAATAAAATTTTATAGTTTAATAATGACAAGTGTGTCGAAAATTTCTCATCGGTAACAGAACACGTAGTAATAGCAGATATAAGACTCTCAGACACAATTACATCTTCAATAAATTGATGCATGAGACCTTTTACTGATTGTCTGTTGCAAAGCTGTTGTGCCATGACAATGGATCGGTGTCGTAATCTATTGATTTCGTTGGTTATATTTTGCAGTTCCTCTTGAAATGTAAATAAAACCGACTCGGTATGTTCCAATATATCTTCACATTCATTTAAATTTTTGTGTAACGTCACTATGTGTTCGCCAGACTTGATATACTTGTCGATAGCGAGGTTTTCGTGATTTTTCAAAGTGCTTTCTACTTCTTGCGAGTAGTCACGTAGATCAGTTTCAGTTTTCAGGATTTGATTTAAGACATTGTCATCTAGTTCAATATACTTTGACTCCATATTAAAGTGGTTTACTCACTAAGTAATATTATGTTCTCAGTAAAAATACATCATTAATTGACCACGATAAAAAACTACTTACGCGCACCATACAAAATTACAAAACACAGATTTTAATTCAATTAATAACACTGAAATAATAGTATAAGTCGGTTTACTTGACTTTTTATAACTTACAATAAAGTAATAAAATTATATAAAGAAAATTTGTAATTATTACCACAGATTATATGTATATTTTCATATTATAATCTGTGTTATTACAATATCGCCTAAAAACATACCAATGATAACAGCTGATAAGAGTGCCTGATAAGATCGGCTGGTTTCTTGATAAGACTTATTTACATTTTACACTTTTAACAACTTTTCAGGAGACCCAAAAATACTTTTAAAGTATTAATATGAATATTTCAAAATTATTGTATACGAACATACATGGTATAGCGTACAGTCTTTTAAATACAAAACAACGTATTTACAAAAAAAAAAATATGTAATTTACCATAAAAATTTTTACTAAAATTGTGACACCTATTCAATTATAGTATTTCTGACAGTAAATTTAAAAACACTTAAGTTGCGTTTTCAAGCGGCTGTATAGTATAATATACAAGCTAACTGTAATGGGGCGGCGGTCTATAGTCCAAATTTTCAAGATGATGCCCGTTAAATGTTGAGATTTAGCAATAAATATCTTTAAATTGGGTCTAAAAGGGTCAATGTCAATTTTGGGCATAAGAGTTAGTCAGCTAAATGCAAAAATAAAAACTTAAATGCTCATTTTCCGAAAGTTACAAAAAAGTGAGACTGGCTCTTTTAGACCCAAGGCACAGATATATTAAAATTTTTATATAACATCCCACTTGTGCTCCGATTTAAAATAATATTGTTTTTTGAATCAATACTATTGTACTGGTTCAAAAATAAAATTTGAGTTGGGCCTTCCAAGCATTTTCTTACTAAAATTTGAATATATTTTTAAACATTTATAATCAACATTAACTACACAATCACTAAGTTTTTACGTTGCACAGTATATTAAATTGAAATTGAATAGTATGACCTATACTAAATAATAATAAATATATTGTTTCTAAATATTGTTATTTAATTTTTAAAAATATTTTGTTAGTACAAATTAAAAAATTTTTTAAAAAAATACTAAGATTTGATACCAATGACTTCTACTTAAAATCTAAAATATTCCATTAAAGATATGTTTTACATCTTTTTTTTATACAATCTTTATAGATATACATTTTATAAGTAACTATAACATGAAAATTTATGTCAATAATAAAATATTTAAGGACAAGGGATGACAAAATTTAGTCGTGGTACGAGCGAGGGTATTGGACAACATAACGTTGGGCTACGACCATCATTATAGTATATTGCTTGAAGTCGTCTTCAAATAGTACTTCGTATCCATCTATACTCGTTTTGGGAGGAGCTTTGACGAGAGCTTTGAAGAAACATGTAGTTTGAGGATACATGGCCAACACTAAGATGAATATAGAAATGAAACATTAGTATTTTTTTTTAATATTGCTCTTAATTTGTACTTTATACAAACCAAATTGATCACAAAAAAAAAATGCGTCTGGACATGTAACTGGGTCGGCTCTCATAAGCGGCAAAGGTACGACGTTTTTTTTAGGTAATGTAAAATTACGATTTATTTCTTTTACATCAATATCTTCAACTTGGTATTTTCCGTTGTTAAAGCCAACTGCTTCTGCTACAATCCATCGGTCTTCGCCCGATTGTTGGACTAATGCTGCTACCAAATCTCCACTCTATAATAAGTCAATCACAATTGTAATTCATTCATGGGAAAAATACTAAATAAATAAAGATGTTACGGCTAATGAATTAATAAATAAAAATTCCCAATGATCTATGGGTTGACATGGAGAAGTAGAATTGTGAACTGACCTACGGGTTAAAACACACACAGATAACGCTTATATAGAACAAATACCTTAGCGATATACGACACGTCAGGAGGAATTGCACCACAAAGTGGGGGTGGCAATTCATCGTTGGAGGGTACCCACAAAGGTATTCTAATTGCTGATATTTGTAATAGCTTTAAAAACGTGGAACTTCTTTGAGACTGAAGCAATGACTAAAAAAAAAGAAAAATTGCAGTATTAGTCAATAGTTAATCAGTAAACTCATTACGATTGGTATGAAGTACTTTTATTTTCTGATGATGTATGTTTCTAACTTCGTTAATTGTTGCGAGCGCTTTTCTGAGGATTTCTTCCTCTTCGATTACTTCTCTCTCGGCCGTTTCATAACAACTTAAAAGTAATGTCTAGAAAAATGTTTAATGCATATTATGAATGAGTGCTCATTAATATTTATTATCAATATCAGGCTCACTTGAGATTCGGGATCCATCATTCCTTCTTTAATAACTTGATCTTGAATGCTATTAATTTGATTGACCATCGATTCATTGTTTTTCCTAATTTTTTCTATTTCAAATAATGTTTCATATATTTCAGTAAGTCGCTCCTGAAAATAGCAAACAGTATTACAAATAAGAATACACCAAAACTGAAATAGCGTCACTTTTTTTTTCATATTCTAAAATTACAAAAACTATAAATTATTTTTGAAAAAATTATTTTGATGATAAAAAAAATCAAACAAACTTATTGTTGCGGTGTATTTATAATAATTAAATAATTATAGTATAAATTATATTTTTCCTATTAATCTCAAAACACTTTTATGAATTACGATAACTTATTCTGGATCCTGATTAATTTATTAACTTATATGATATTTATTTATTTAAAATATTGTTTATTGATAACTCAAATTTTGTTTTTGATTTGAGGTTCTTATAAATAATCATTTTTTAAAAAAATTTATTTTTATTCAAACATGCAGTATGTATATAGAGCAGTACTTAAAAATATCTTTTATGTAAAGCGATATTAAAAAAGCCACATTACGTTTTCTTCTAGTCCATCTTTAGTAATATCTTTGTCGGTCTCTTTTTCATCGCCATTTAATAATTTCACTAATGCCATATTGATTTATGTGGCAATGTAATTTAAAATATCACTCAAAAATGATATTCTGAAAAAAAAAGTTTTAAACAATACATATAAATTATAAAATGAAGTAACAGAATGAAATGAATGCAATATCATTGAAGTGAGTTCTTAGATCTATCTTTATTTATGCTTCCATTTATCTATCGAACTAACTAAATTATTTATCTTAGAGGTGATTAGCTAGGTGAGTTGGACTAAAAGCTGGTTTCTAACTTTATGCTGAAAAACCATGTTCGGTACCATATAGCTCAAAAAGGGAGTTAGGAATATAGCTAGGATAGTGGCTATTATTTATTTCTGTAGCCGATCGCTTAAGCATAAAGAAGTAAAGCAAGTAGTCATGGTTTTAACTAATAATAGTAGTAATAATTTGTAAAATTAAGTAATAAAATATTGAAAAGTACCTTACACCACGACAAATAATACACTTTTCACTAATTGTATAAATTAAATGTTACCTGAAAAATCGGTTATGAATTGTACATTTATTCATGGACCAACATGAACACGTAGGTTAACGTTGATGTGGTAAAACTGAACTTAGCAGAAAAAAAATCCAAATTCAAAACAAATAAAACTTTAGAGCTGAAAAATGTTTTGAAATTTTAAATGGAATTCTATGAATATTATGACTAAATCGACAAAAAGTAGGTAAATCTGTATTTTGTAAATCGTAATTCGTTAGTGATTTGTTATCACTAACAAATAATAAACACTGATAACACAGTGTTTACTATCATACTTTTTAAGCAAGGAGATCTTATACTACAATAGCGCCAAATTTCAATTTTACTAATATCATTAAGTTACCACAATATTTGTTTTATATTTTCTGGTTCTTTCACCATTTTTACGATGAATACCGTTGCTATTGCTATCAAATATTAAGAGCAACGGAAAAAAACTATTTATTAAGGGGAAATGGATAGGCAACATTTGACGTACATTTATCAAATTGTTTTAAGTATACAATTAAACGAAGGGTTGAATTACTATTAATTGTTATGTGACAAAATTAGTATACATTAAAATCGCGTTTTAGTTGCCTTTGTATGAAATTTTGCATATCATATACTGATCACATTTTTTGAAAATGTAATCAAAAATCAAAGTTCACTCTAGAAAAGTTTACTTCTTCAGACAAAATAATTATATTAAATCTGATCGCGTTATCGTTTCTCACCACCAACAAGGCCATTAGTTAATACTAATAAGACAATTGTATACTTTAAAAATAACACCCCGTTACATCGTCTACTACCAACTTACTCACTTTTAAAAATTGACATCATTTTATCGAGAACCGTCGTAGGTGTATAACAAGTCGATTAGCGGTAAATTTTTCATTTTGTTCATGCGTTAAATCTGCTTAGTTTCTCAGAAACATTCATCTCTAGGTGCACGTTTTTGCTAAGAAAAACAGTGATGTAACGTCCTCTTAATTACAGTGTAAATACTACTTACAAGTATAGTATAATAGGCCACGATGAGTATATTCAATAAATCATAGCAGTGTACGAGAATACAATTTTTAAGTTCGTGTCGTTTAAGTATAATACTTTAAACTATAGTGAAGTACATACGATCATTAATGTACTATTTACCATTATGCTTTTGTCTTTCATCTATATAGGTACTATATTAGGTACTAAACATATAATGTGTTCATAGTTCATTCAGCTTAACGTCATTTTGTCAATACAAGGTGTGTTTTTTTTTGTTAAAAATTAAAAAAACTCCCCATTTTAGTGGTCCATATCTAATAAGAACTCTTAATAAGGTTATAGTACTGTACAGAGTTAATTATCTAAAAAAAATTTTCCGGGACTTGACATTTGTTTAGGCTTTTATTATATATTACTGTAAAATGCAAAAAACACATTGAAAATCCCTACTAAAAAGTCAAATTTAGAGTGAATTAGCTAAAGTATATTTTTAAGTTAAAAAAAAATTATATACTTGATGAGACATAAAGCTTGGCGTTAGACGAAGAGAATATTAGATATTATATTCTATGAACTCAGAATATTGGCAGGAACCATAAAAGTGCGCCAACTATATTCCAAGTGTAAAATCTTATCTCGTATTTTTTATCATTATATATTATTGCTTATCTGGTATCACTATTTCTACTGTTTGGATGGTTCTCTATAGAGTACAGCCTATATTTTATTGTATATTTATACCAATTTATGTTACATATATTTCTTATGACTTATGAGTTGCATTTTCATACAATTACCCTAGGATACTAATGTAGGTATAAGGTATTTGTTTGGCCGTGTATCTGTAAAAAATAGCCTTTTCTTTAAATTACCAAAAATTTTAATTTAAAAAAAAATTGTTTTTTTCATACTTGATCGATTGATAGTCGGAAAAGGAATGAAATGTTAATTTATGAAAAATCTATTTCCTTGTATCATTTTTACTAAAAAATTACTATAAATGTATTGCTTGTTTGATAATTATACACACAATATAATTATAATATAAATTAAAAAATATATATATATATATATATTATTTTTCATATTTTGGGTTTTTTTGTTGTTTTGTTCATTGTGTTTTAATATCAAATTTGTTTTTCTAATTTGATTTTGATGTAAAAGAAACTAGCATACAGTATATAGAAAATTTAAATGTTCAAAACAATTTCATTAATCACTTCAAAAGAATCTTGTTTTTACATGATTTTAATTTTTGGCGTTTATAAAAAATTGCTAAAATAAAATCATACACTGTACTATTATGCAGAATGCAGAATGCCCTGTGAAACTACATTTTTTTATACTTGTAACATTAAAACTTATTGACTTTATGATGGAAAATCTAAATAGTTTTACTAAATGTTGGGGTTTTTTTTTTTTACTCGGGGTGGACCGTGGAAGAAATATTTTTTTTCTCTTTTACTCTACACCAAGACGCTATTTTTGTAAAGTTTCATGAAAACGATTTCAAAAATTTGTTTTTTTTCACTACCGTACCGCACCCCATTAAACAAAACAACGTAGTTAGGTCCCTATAACGGTTAAAGGTAAAAAAAAAAGCCCTTGGTAATACATTTAGACACGAGGAAAATATAAGCTCGATTGAGATGAATGCTTTCAAAGTTTATTTTCGCATAAAGAACACAGTAATAAACTTAAAAAAAAAGTATGAAAAGATAATCCATCATTCTACTAGTTTTCTGTACAGAGCCGTTGAAAGTAACGATAATAATCACAATAAGACATTATTACCGCATACAATAAAAGTATGGTAAAATGTTTTTGAGGATAAGAAGTAGAACTGGCAGGCCGAGCCGGAGAAATGCAAATATTGTAGAATAAAAATAGATTAACAGTTGTGCATGGAATACAAGTCGTATTTACAACAACAACAACGATATGATATTATTATATTGACTTTCAAGAATAATTCAAGGCGCAGTAAATCATTACAAGTATTAGGTATGTATTGAATTACATTTGTAAAACTGTAATCTGCGAGCTGAATTTTACCACAAATTATAAATTTAATAATACATATTATATTGGCCTAAGCCCCCATAACCAAAAACGGGGTTCGTTCCATTGTGAACATTTGCCACCTGCACCGGCCTGCTCTTTCTCTGGTGAAATTGTTCGTTTTCTTGAGCCGACTATGTAATGTATGTAAAAACATTTTGGCAAAAATAACAACATGAATATCGCGAAATGTTGTGTAATTTATAATATTTACAGCAAGGTAAGGCGTTCAAGACGGGCAGCAGGGTCACATTTTTTATCATTTTCACCAGCAACTGTTTCGCCCGTACAACCAGGGGCGGATTAGTCTGCGGATATAATTTAAAGAAAAAATAGCAAGCAATTTCAATTATTATGAAAGAACCGCCCTGCGAGACACGAGTATACAATAAATAACCGGACGATTACCTAACTATAATAGAGCCGGCCACCTGCCCAGTGTACGATTTTTACCGGCTTTAGCTTAGTAACGATGCACCGAACTATGTAATAATTGTGTTTTAAAAGTGATCAGAACTCGGAGTAGTATTATTTTCTTCAGGTACACGATTGCTTCTAACATGGAACATTATTAAAGAATCGCAATCGTAATAAATAATACATAATATAATATAATAATATGAATCAGTTAAAATTCGCTAATATTGTTTTATGCATATTTATCGGTTTTAAATGCGCTCAAACAAATTACGCATAAAAATAAAATAGTTATTCTATGATTTTTTTGTACCTCTTATATTTTTGACATATTTGTTGAAATTATATTTATTTTCAGAGCGCCACTTTTGAAGACTCGATGAACCAACATTACAGTATCTTATGGCCTATTGTTCGCCCGGTGTCCATAAGTACTTGGCTCTTGTAAACCACGTTTCCTTAGTTCATATTTGTTAAGTATACTCTGTTTTAACGGGAAATGATCTTTGGAAACAGCTTATGGGAAATCGTTCTAACGTTTACGCTATTCGCTATTTCATATTGTCAACATTAGTATAATATTGAGAACATGGAAAAATCGTTCTGCCGTGTCTGGCCGACATGTCGACGACAGCCGTATCCGCGGTACGGGAATTCCATAATAGAGACGTCGCGAGCAGTTACGTGACGCTCGTCCGCTTGGCGTCGTCAGCGTCGCGAGCCCTCCCCCCGCGGGGACCGCATTCCGTGAACACCGTACACACGTCCACGCCGCCCGCCCGGCACCGCAGCCGCCGCCGCCGCCAAACGGACCGTACGCCAGTCAACGTATACGCCATACTCACACACACCAGTGCATTGTTCGCGTCCGTCGGCCGTGGTACCGCGTCGCTCGGTGTGCCGCGCCCGCGATACTGATCATGCCAATCATTTTTGGAATCGCACAGGATTAATAACGCATATTATCATACGAACGTTTTACCGACAGAACAGTGACAGACGGTTTTTTTTTTTTTGTGCGCGCGTGTGGTGTGTGTTCCGGCCGCATGCGACCGCGGACATTGTGTGCGCGCCAGTTCGTCGTCGTTGCGTGTGATTTATATATTTTGCCGCGAGTGCGTCGCGTACAGTGCGAACAGGGCGCCGGCCGCCGCCGCCGCCGGTGGCCAATCAATGTGTACTGTCGCCGCCGCCGCCCGCCGGTGGCTACACGAGGTATACGGTGGTCCTTGGATAAAATATAAATTATAATAATATTATTGTAGGTGCACTCTCGACGGTCGTTTGCCGCCGGAATACGGGTAAAAACGGGTACGCCGGGCGGCCGTGTTTCTTCTTATCACCGTGTGCGCTTCTCGGTAGTAGAGCGGTCTTTATATAATATAACGATACATTTTTTTTTTCCCCGACTGCGGCTGTCTCGGTAGACGACGACGGGCCGGACGTGCCGCAGCTGCCGCGCGCCGGTAGCCCCGCGCGTTGGTAACGTCGAGCGTTTGCGATATTCGGGTGCTTCTCCCCCCCTCCACTTTCATTCAATAAACGCGCGCGCCTCCGGTATCGGGGTCAACTCATAGCCGCTGCCGCCGCCGTCGTCGCCGCACGGTGTACTCGTGTAAGCCGCGGAAAAATAATATTAATAATAATAATAATACCATAAAAAGACGGCGGCGGCGGTGGCGGTGGACGACGTGCCATCGGAAGAAGAGCCGCCGCCGCCGCCGTGCCGTTGAGGAGCGCCGCCGTGTCAACAACAGAGTTATTACCGTTGTCGTCCGCGCGTCTCTTTCCCTCTTGCGCGGCGTCCGGTTCAATGGCTCTTTGGAAATTTCCAATTGCCCGCCAAACGATTTTTCCCTCCCCTCACGACGCGACAACGTTTATAATGCGACACTTGTGTTTTACTTTGGCTTCGTTGCTCGAATTTAGAAGGAAAAAAAAAATGACTATTCGTAGAAAATTGACGCTTAAAAAACTTGATAGTTTTCATTCTAGATTATTTGTGTTGTCTTTAAAAGTATCATTTTTACACTACCGTGTGGTACACATTTAATAGAGGAATGTAGGTAATTTGTATAGAACAAAAGTCTACATTTAGAAGAAATCGGTTGACAAAAAATAACTTGGGTACGATTGTGAAACGTGGTTAGGTGGAACGTATCAAACGCGTGTCATCTCTGAATCACCGTTATACCGTGTATTCGGCAATTATTGGACATTCGTTCCGGATGTACAGTTTTTTTAAATATATATTTCCTCAAATACCATACCGGCAAATTGATTTTGAAAAATTAAAACAAATAATCTTAGGTTCTTTACCTTGCACAATAGCTAATTCTATTAAAACGGTCCTCGATATTCTGCTCAAACACTTTTCAGTAGTAAATGTTCACAAATATTTTTGATTTTTTATAGTTTATGGCCGACTTGGATATTCTTATAGAATACAGGATCGGTTCATAGAACGTGTACTCGGAAAAACAAGTAACAATATGCTAATGTTTTTGTAATGTAACTCTTCGGATTTCCATGCTTGTCGTGTTCGCATTGTGAATATAATATTTCAATCAAAGAATAAAACGAGCACTTCCGGTAACGAAATTAATTCAAACCGATTCGTTAAAAGGTTTCCCTTCAACGAGAAAAAAAAAAACGTTTGAAAAAAAAACACATACCTAATTCGTGCTCGACCGTTAAAAAAAAAAAAAAACGTAAAATATATATCAAAAAAGGTAAACGTGGCGTAAGTACACACACACAACACGGTAATAATATCATAGCGGTGATTTATGTATATACCTATGTACATTTTTTTTTATACTGTGAAATCCGTTTTCCTCCTCGACCCTTTACCTACCGACCATTGTTTAAATAGTTATTCTCTCTATGGACAAACGCGGTCAATTTGTTTTGTCCACGGTTGTTTATTTTTTTTGAGATTAGCCGCTTATTGCTCAAACATTTGTCTTGAAACTAATTTTCTTGGTTTTCTGTCGGTTTAAAAAATGTACATTGTTAAAATTGTACGCGTACACAAATCAATGATTGGGGTATGAATTTTTTTTTGGGGGGGGGGGGGGTGCTAATTTTGAGTCTGGGGCGCTAAAGTCACCCTCCCTAGTTGCGCGCCTATGGGACGACTTACCGCCAAACGGATAATGGTCGTTTGTAACTAACCGGGGCAAAATGTTCGAGTTCCCTTTTGAGGTCCCCCCCTCCTTTTTTTTGGCTGACTATCGACACAATATCGTTATTTCATTATACTAATACAACAAAAGTGTACAGTATAGGTATATATTATTATTGTAATGGATTTTTGTTGTGTTCATATCGAGATCCATTCCCCCTTTAGAGATTACCTTACCTACACCCATCCGACCCAATAATCATGACGGTCGGTTTAGGCTTTATATAGATAATGGTTTTTCGACACACACAATATGCACGTGAACGAATAATTTAGTTTAATACATTTATATTATGCGAAAATTCCATTTACAGTCACATAGTCGGTATAAATGAATAAATTCAATAAACAAAATCACAACGTCTTTCCGTTAATGGGTTGATTTTATTTAGTTTTAAAACCCCGTTTTCGGTAAACCCGTTATTAAAAGAGTTTTCTTCAGAGTTTCTGACAGTTGTTCTGATAATATGTAATTTTCTTTGTGATCTCTTCGCAAGACGTTTATCGCGCCAAACACACAATAATAATATTTATTATTATTGTGACAAAATCAACATCGAGAAAGACGTGTTTCTCCAGTTATAATCCAGTTTTATACTTAAACTATATACCTACATTTAGATTAGCCGATTAATCGTCATCACGGTGTACGACTTTGTTAATTACACTTGTTTTGGCAGTTGTTGACGCGTCGATAATTAATTTCCGGTAGTCTTACAAACGAAATATGTCTATAATTTATTCATTTATAAGTAGATGATATTCAAGTCATAATCAGTAACAGCCACGTATTGTGCACATTCTATTTTTATGCGTAAACAAAAGTTGAAAAATTACATGTTTTTCCATGATTTTGGTTCAATTTCTGTTGTTGAACGATTGTGTTTTTGGTTTTCGAGAATTGTGTTTTTTTTTTAATTGGCTTATTTTCAACTAGAGACCGAAACCTTTGGGGTTTTTATTGGCCGATAAAAATAATATACCTACCGACCGGTTAAGAAAAACTATTAAAAAATAAATGCACTTACCACTTAGTTGATTTAAAACTCGCCAAATGTATATTTCTTTTTATAACGATCAAAACCTTTTTTATCCACGTCATCGTATGCGCAGGTTTTTTAGTATATATGTATAATAACATGATTTCGATTAATTAACGGCGCCATAATATTATGTTCGTTCCTAAAACGCGCAACTGTCGAGATAGATGTTGGTTGGTATTTAACGAAATATCAACAGCATAGTTTTGCGTTGAAGTTGAAATAGACTCCTCATTTAGTATCTTCGCCGCCGAATTGGCTGTTCACGACCGTTAAATTAGTCCTAATATTGTTTTGACACAACCATAACAAACTGTACGCATATAATATGTTTATAAGCATTAAATAATTACAACTTGGGTATACACGAGTAACCATTAACGTCCGTCGCGTGTATGACCTAGAAAAATCGTGCCCCGTCATTCAAACTGTGTGTGTGTGTGTACTTAATTAGTATTGTGTAGGTGCGATGAATATACCTAGTGCGCCCTGTATAAACAAACACCGTTTTCAACCGGTCTGTATAGTTTTGAAAACGCAATTAGAACAAAATCTTTGCCACAGAAAACGAGCAAAAAAGTTATCGTCCTACTCGACGTTGTGGTCAATGGCGCAGCCTTTTGCAGTTTACCTAGACAACTTTAATAAGCCTCTAATTAATGCTTGCTCAGTAAACCGATCTACCGCGGTTACCACGCATCGGGGCCGACTAGACAGCTCCCCCCCCCCTTCCTGAGGTTAATGGACAAACTTAATATAGATTTCATGTGTATATAGAATCGACCCACGAGACGCGAAAGCACTATAAATTATCTAACGGGGCCCCCTTTAACATTGAAAGGCAGCCGGCAGTTGCGCACCTGCGGGTCCGTTGACCATTGCGGTTATGATTTTACTCGTTGGCTTTTGACCTCAGCGCTTAAGCGGCCGTTTATCGACGCATGTAAATAACAGATTTTGGTGTTTTTTTGTTTGTTTTCAGATGTAAAGCACACTGACGTTTGCGTTGGTGTGTGAGTATTTGTGGAAATGTCGTCGAGAAAGGTCGCCGACATGTCTGCCGGAGGCGAGAGCCAAAAGCAGACGTCGGCCGCCGCCAAGGCGAAACAAAAGAAAATTTCCAACGCGGCCGACACGCCGCCCGGACCGGTAATGGCGACGAAGAAAACGGCGGCCAAGAAAGCAGTTGTCAACAACAAGGTGCCAAAACCGGAACAGAAGAACGCGATCAAGACGCCGAAAGCGATGAAGAAAATCGCCGAGAAGGAATTCGAAGAGCGCGAAGAGAAAAAGGACCCGCCGGCCAAGAAAACGGTCAAGCAGAAACTCAAGGAAAAGCTGATAACGAAAACCGTGAAAAAACCGTTGAAAGAAGCGATTAAAAAGGGTAGTAAAGCCGGCGGACTGACGTCGGCCGGAAACGCGGACAAATGCGCGGCGGACAAGTCGCCGCCGAAACCGAAAAAGAAAGCGACCACGGACGACAAGGACGAGAAGAAGCCCAAGGAGAAAGTGCCAAAAGAGAAAAAGGCGGCCAAGGAGAGCGGCGGCAAAGACGCGAAAGAGACGACCAAGGACTCGAAAGATACAAAAAAGAAACAAGGCGTCAGAGCGATGAAGAAAACGGCCGACCCGGCGGACGCGGATGGCGCGAAACCGGCGGCAAAGCCTGATAAGAAAGCGTCTCCCAAGAAAACAGCGGCCGCCGCCAAAGTGACAGCCGCCAAGAGCAAAGGCAAACAAAACCAGAACAGGAAAATCGACTCTATCGACGACTGCATGGACGTGGTCAAGGACGAGAAGGGCGACGGCTTGAATTTGCTCCAAGTGTTTCAACTCAAAGACAGCGAGGTGTGCGATTTCGACGGCGACATATGCAACACGATAACCATTCGGCAAGACAACACGTGCATAAAGATTAAAGAGATATCCGTGAGCCAGCTGCCGTATCCGGTTAAGTCGGAGCCGGGCACCGAAACCGAATCGCCCGTCGTCAAGCCGGTCAAGAAAGAAGCGAAAACCAAAGTGGAAAAACCAAAAATAGACAAACCCAAAGCAGATAAGGTCGGCGCCAAAAAGGTAAAAGCGGAGAAGTCGGAAAAACCTGAGAAACCGGAAAAGCCGAAGAAAAAACCGAAGGCGGCCGCCGCGGAAAAACCCAAGGTCAAGCCTAAAGTGTCGCCAAAAGCCAAGCCGAAAACCGGAAGGGTCGCCAAGCGACCCAGGGTGGCTTCTTTGAACGCCATCGCCAAAGTCCACTGCCTATACGAGAACGAGACTAAAAGCGCCCTGATCGACTCCCTGCCCGCGTCCGCTCTGGCAGCGGCTGCGGCAGCGGCAGCAGCCCCGGTCGCCACTCTGGCACCGACTTCCAAAGCGGCGAAAAACGAACCGAAAGCGGAAGTGGCCGCCAGAAAGGGCAAGAGGACTTCGAAGCGAACAACGCCCGGACTCAAAAGCGTAGGAAGACACTGGGACATGCACGACACCAGCTCCACCAACAGTTCCTCTTCCGGTACGTATACAGAGGGAGAGATTATTACAATATTGTTTTTAACGTAGTATCGATCTTAAAACATGAGCGGGAGGCTTTTAATACTTGACGTGTCTTTTTTAAACGGCGGGTAACTCGAGTAGGTGTACTGCGGTATAAATGATTTTATCGGTTATCTAATAAAACTAGTTAACTATTTCGAAACCTAACCTTAAGTGTGTTTTCAATTGCTTTTTTTTTTAAATAATTAAACTTTACAGTTAATATTTTTATTTTTCATTAATGAGTTCTGTGTTTTATTAACGTGCACTTTTGTTTGTCACAGGCGGAGACGACGCCAAGTACGAACCGCCAAAGTCGGCTAAACGGACGAAAAAGCAGCCGGCTGTGTCCGAAGCGGACAGCTCGGACGACGAGGAAGAAAGTGGCCGGGAAGCATCGTCCAAGCAAGTGGCGTCGCCGTCGGGCGGCTCAAAGCGAAAGAGGCGCAACGCCGATACGGTCACCATGGACCTGAAGGACATGGTGGTGAAGAAGCGCATGGCCAGTCTGAACGCCTCGGCCATACTGGCGGCCAGCTACTCGACCGAAAAAAAGTCGCCCGCCAAGGGAGCGGACAGCTCGAAGAAGTCCACGACCAGCTCGGACGTGTCTTCGGTGAGGTCCGAGCCGGAAGACGACGCGGAAGACGAGGACTCGGACGGTAACGCGGAGCCGCCCATCACGGCTCGCGTCACCGTCACGCAGCCGACGCCTTTGCCGCCCATCCTGCCGCCGCCGTCCTCTCAGCTCGCCGTCATCGTCAACCAAGACACCGACGTGACCATCACCGGCGTGTACGTTAACAGCACCACCCGGTCGACCAGGCACGAGGAGTTCTGCACCATATCCGGACTCCAGTACCGGATATCCAGTACGAGCCACACGCAAACCGAGGCCACCGCAGTAGCTACCGAAACATTGCTACACGCCGAACACGTGAGTACAACGTTTAATTTTTTTTTGTAAAACGCCTCAAACCGAGTTGGGAAAAACCCAGGTTGGTTTTTTTTTGTGGGAAACCAATACAACCAAAATTAAAAGCTGAGTGTGAGATTTTCAACGATTTGTGTCTTTCAGTGAACTTTGGCCTTTTACATTGGCCATATTAAAAAAATATACATATTATTACAAACATTATTGTTTGTCAAGTCCATTAATTGTGTTTAGACACCCGAATTCAAACATATAAACCAGTCAAGGCCTAATACATTCGCATAGACGAGATTTGACAAAGTAATTTTTTTCAGGAGTAGCTCTTAAACGATAGTGCTGTTTCTTTGCAAATAAAAAGATGCGACCGTCTAATGGGTGTCGACATTATACGGTTTTTTGGCGGATATAAGTGTTTGTTTACCGCGTTCTCCTTCGACGTGTCCCATACACGTTATGGATACTTGTACGGTAATGGCACAACATAACCGGTAAAAAAAAATTGCAATTAAATTGTGTCGGCGGCGGCGACGACGGCACCTTATCGATTCCGGTGTTTATGTGGAAACATCTTGCCAATTTCTTAATGAAAAATAAATATCTCCGGCCTTCTTAATAACAGCAACGAACGGAGTCTGTAAAATGTGCTGATAAATAGCGTTGTTTTCGGGTATGTTTGTTTAGGATAAACAGAGTTTGTACGCTCATTTTGCTATTACCGTTTATAAGGTTAGGATTTCTAGATTAGTGTTACCGGGCCACAAACAATTTTGGCTTTTGCTTCTACGCCCAGCTAGGTACACCAAGAATGGTTGTGTGTACGACATTTATTTGATCAGAATCAAAGCGGCGGATTGTCAAAGGACATGCCTACCGCGTGAGAAATAAATTTATATTTCGCTTCGCTTTTGTATATGGTCACAAGGGGATTATGTATTTTTTTTTTATGGAATCTAAAAAGCACTCCGGCGAGGAGCGAGAAAAAAATAAAGTAATTCGGTGTATTAGTTTATGTATTATGTGTGCTCTTCCTCTCGTCCTTTGTGTGTCTGTCCTCGTTACATACGCGTTCACTGTTGTTTGCCGGAGGACAACACATCCGGATGTATTACACCGCCGCTTTGTCATTAGCTTGTACGTTTTGCCAACCTTTTCGTATCGCCGTTTGCGCTCGCCTTCTTATTTTCTTGACGCTTTTGTATATAAGGAGAGAGAGAGAGAGACATAAAAAGCGGCAGATATTTCCCATCGTTCGACAATGTACACACACACCGACCGAACTTTAGCGCTGTGTTTTCTTATATGAAATTTATTTTCTATTAGTTTTCATCCGCCAAACGAAAACCTCTTCTCTGTGTAATGTAATTCCTCTCTCCGGGGATTCCGTTTTCGGTACATTTTATTATTATTTTAGTTGAATGATTCGACGGAACACACCAAAATTCATACTACCCCTACTTGAAACGACAACATTTACAGTGAGAAGATAAAACATCCCTTTTACAATCATTGTCATTTTACTCGCTGTGAATCGTTTACAATCAAATATTATATAGTCTTATCGCATCATTTTTGCAAAGATAACGGTTGACGCTAACTCTAACGCTAAATATGTGCGTGTACTTGTGGACGACTAATATAATTACACCAGAATAATACGTGATAGCCACGATTCAATTAAAAGGGCATTGTGATAATTAACGAATGAATAAAAAAAAAAATTGCTTCAAGTCACTATATAATATGTGTTATATAAGGTAATCGACGACACAATAAACAGCGACCTTCAACGAGACGTACTCGTCCATCAATTTTTTTTTTATCAGTTATCACTCTACAAATTATTATAATCGTTATGGTCTCTACGCGCGACATGACTTTTTTTTGCTCGGTCTACTAAAATAATAATAATATGTAATACACGATTTAAGGTCAGGTTCCCACAGTCGTTAATACCAGTGTGTAAAACGGTCGTTTTGTAAAAAAATAAAAATAAATGTTATTTTTTCCTTTTAATTGACGCAATCACGGCCGGGATCACTTAACTTAATTATTACAAACAACATAAACCGTCTCAATTGAATTCGAACGAGGCGGCCGTTCGATACAATTACAGTATATATTTTTGCCAAAACGTACAAACTTATTTTATACATCTATAATAATATATTATATTAGGGTTTTGTTATGTATTGTTTTACAAAGTATAACATTATATTGCCGTCCTCGTTGGCTGTCACGTGTTTTCGGATGATTTATGATGACCGCAGGGACGGCATAATAGTAATTATTACTGTTGTACACACATATTATTATTACTATTATTTATCATTTTTGTCGCGCTACATGATTGAATTGTTTTTTTTAATTTTTTTATTATTACGGTGCGTGCTGAGTGAGTGCCGGCTTGTTTAGTCCAAACTAATTATCTTTGGCCACGTTGCAGTGTATAATAATTTTGTTCGCACCCATTATATTGTTATTAGGTACTATTGAATTTCGCATACGGTTATAAAAATAGTGAAGCTGCTTTTTTTTTGCCATCCGAGAAACGACCCAGAAATATCATTACACATACAGTTGTAAAGTGTCTCTATGAACTACTACATCCTGTAATTTTGTCCTACAAAACCGTCGCGGGCTCTTCTCAATTTTTGAGGGACTTTTTAATCGTTTAAGAATTAAAGCGCCTCCTCCGCTTGTGCATCTAAACGGGGCGGTTGTATTTAAACTGTTGGATTTCACCGGAAACGAAAATATTGTAAATAGAGTATATTCGGATGTCTGCAGACAGCTTTTCTGTACTTATATAATACCAACAAACGACCGAAAGGCCGCCGTCGAGATAATGGATGCGCTGCCGTTTCCTCTGGGTGTCTTCGATCGACCGTTAAAACAGATTTTTTATTATTTTTATTTATTACCCGAAAATATTTGCGCTGAAGATCGTTTTTTTGGCCGTATTGTAAAAAACCCAAATGTTTATCGACCATATCCGAAAAAGTACCCTTATATACCGTTAATAATGTTGACTCGGGTTTTTTGTTTTTTGTTATGCGACAAAACGCAAACGAATAGTATTGCATTTTTTTTAAACCGCATCAAATAAACACCGATTTTTCACATTTTTTGCAATCTTAATTTTATATATAAAAAATAGGCAAAACTGAGTAAGTCTTCAACGAATATAATACTATTAAGTACACATAAACATGCAAATAAATACAAAATAATTGATAACTTCTAAAAGCTTCTACATTTTTTGTTTACTTTATTACATGAAAATAAAGTAGAATTTTTGTAAATGCATTATATATTTATGCCTATTTTTTTAGTAGACAATTTAAACGCAAATAAAAAATACTTTTATGGTACTTTATTGTTGTTATGTTTATCAGTTTTTTATGTACTAATACTAGAATTTTGATTATTCGCATAAAATAAAGTTTAACCCAAAGGTGTACTTGCAAGAAATCTGAGTTGTCTAATTGAACCTTACCTGCTACCCATCTGTTCAGTACTCGATACGATTATTATAACCATACTATTATATTATTAAATAACAATGTATTTATCACTTATATGAGACATATATATATATATATATATATATATCGTATATAAGAGACTACAAATAATCATTATAGTTGAATTCAACTAATTGCGATGGCAAAATTGTTTAATTTAGGCCAGCTTAAAGTTTGATTGGTCCCGCCCGGTTGCGGTAATGGTCGCCGTCGTCGCGCCGAGTGTTTATTATTCGATTTTCCGGTCTTAACCACGGCTTCCGGCTGATTGTTCCGTGTGTGTATACAATATCCGGTGTGTGTTAAGTAAGTTGCAGCAGCTGTGGGTCGTGTGTGTCGATTTCGCTGGAATGTAGAGATCTACAGCAACTATTCGGCCAAGACCTCGCCGCCGTGGTCGGTTACACCCTTCTGTAGTTTCTTTGGATTTAATTTGGCATTTTTTTTACAATGCTGTCTCCATATACACCTTTCCCCCTTCCAAGCAGTTACGATACGCACGGATTTAACGGTTCTGCGACCCCTCTGGGCAGACATCACGGCTGATAATATATCCTGGCAGTGTACTTACTCTAAAAAAAAAATACCTACCTGCGATGGCGGTTCCTGTAAAAGCGTATTGTATATTGTATAGGAACGTGTACCCCGATCGCAAACTATTGATCAATGATCATCTCATCAGGTACAACAGGAGAAGAAATGATGGTTACAGTTTCCACATGATTGTGTAAACGTTTAATGTTAAAATATGTTTTATTCGCTCGTTTCGTCGCCTCGTGGTCACCATTGATTAAAAAAAATAATATGAATTATTTATAATATTAACGTCACAAGACACGAGTATTATTTCCCACGTTTTACATTTTTTTTTTTTTATGTCCCAGCTTATTTATGTATTATTCGGCTACCAAATACAAGTTAACCTAAGACGTTGATTTCGATGTACCGAAACTATTTTAATTACCTTATTTGTGTGAGACTGATGACACTTAAATCGTTAACAGCTGCGCAATTCGTATTGATTCGCCGTGATGAATTACCAATATTATGTTATTTTGTTGTGTTTGTAATTTGTAATGTAGTTTTAAATACCCTATGATTAAGTTGAACGGTTCCCCGGGCGTTGTTATGGTGTGTATCGACGGGCAGATAGTTGATCATACCTCGCTAAAGAATCGTTATTAATTGTCTTGTCTTGTCCACTGTCTTGAACAGTGTTATTAAAAGAAATGTCCGAACGCCTCGGATAACTCAATAATTAATTATTACCATGGTGTGTGTGATGTCAATTGATTCATATTTATTACATCTGATGTAATTTGTATTGAGGCGGCAGTTTGTACGTTTGCTGCGCTGTTAATGATTTCAATTAAAACTTGTGCGTTTACACAAACTGATAAAAAACACCACAAAGTTACATGCGTTTGTGTAAATTCACACGTTGTAAATTTGAATAAATACCTAATTATTAATTGTATA